CTAGGATTCATAAGACTTTTTTTTTTTTTTTTTGCCAGTTCTGGGACTTGAACTTAGGGCCTAAGCACTGTCCCTGAGCTTCTTTTTGCTCAATGTTAGCACTCTATCACACTTGAGCCACACAGCACCATTTCCAGCTTTTTCTGTTTATGTGGTACTGAGGAATCAAATCCAGGGCTTCATGATGCTAGGCAAGCACTCTACCACTGAACCATGTTCCCAGCCCTCATGAGGCTTTTGAAAATAAACAATCAACAATGAAAACAAGGCAATTTTCATCATGCATTATCCATTCCTCTCTTGATCCTTTACAGTGAGGTAGACTTATATATAGCATTATAGTGCCTTTTGGAGAAGTCTTTGTCATTTCATCCAAATTTAATTTGAATTCCAATCACAGTCATCATAACCAGATCTAATATATATTAAATATTCATAAGGCATGCATTATTAGGAATGGTCTTAAACATGGCTGAGAGTGTGAGAGGCAAAGTCCAAAATATGAATGTACCATTTTATTCATGTTTTGAATGTTATTAATTCTAATTTATTACAGGAATTACTTCCCAAAAGTGTTCATCATCTGGATTGAAGGAGTATTTGGGAAATGTGGCAATGTTGTTTACGTAAGTATACCACATTAGAAGTCTACTGGAGATCCAAAAAGATTTGCCTTTGTGGAATTTGAAACAAAGGAACAGGCAGCAAAAGCTATTGATGTTGGTCCAGGCTCCAAAGAGCAGTTCTCTTCTTCAAAGGTCTACCATTTTAATTTTACATTTTTCTACTTATGAGTGTGTCAGTCTTCCCTGTATAAAAAATTTGACAGGGGGCTGGGAAGGTGGCTCATTGGTAGAGCCTTGCATGCATGAGGCCCTGAGTTCAATTCCTCAGCACCACACAAGCAGAAAAAAAAGCCGGAAGTGGCACTGTGGCTCAAGTGGTAGAGTGCTAGCCTTGAGCTGAAGAGCTGAGGGACAGCGCCCAGGCCCAGAGTTCAGGCCCCACGACCAGACCCCTCCCCCCCAAAAAAATTGACATTTGGGTGCTGATGACTCATGTCCGTAATCCTAGTTACTCAGGAAGTTGAGATCTGAGGATCATGGTTCAAAGACAGCTCAGGCAGGAAAGTCTGTGAAACTAAAATTAACCACCAGAAAACCAGAAGTGGAGCTGTGGCTCAAAGTGGTCAAGTACTACCCTTGAGCAGAAAAGCTCACCCTGGCCCTGAGTTTGAGACCCATGACCAATAACAACAACAAAAAAAGACAAAAGTTGCTACTTGGACCATATGGGAGTCCTCTGCCAACTTACACTCATATTTCTTTTCTCTTTCTTTCTTTTTTTTTCTTTTGGTCAATTGTGGGACTTGAACTCTGGGCCTGGGCGCTGTCCCTGTGCTCTTCAGCTCAAGGCAAGCACTCTAAGGCTTGAGCCACAGCACCACCTCCGGTTTTCTAGTGGTTTATTGGAGGTAAGAGTCTCATGGCCTTTCCTGCTTGGACTGGCTTTGAACTGTGATTCTCAGATCTCAGCTCTTGAGTAGCTAGGATTGGCAGGCATGAGCCACCAGCTCCCGGCTTACACTCATATTTCTGTGGGAGAGATTATTAGAAAAATAAATCTAAACTGGGTCAGTATTTATATTCTTTGTATTACACAATACCTTGACTTTTTACATTCCAATTGTAAATTATAAACATCTTCTAAAAATAGTTATCTTCAAGAATTCAACATTATACAAATACTTCCACTAGGCTTGTAGGTTGACATTTTATCAATTAATTTTTGCATCATAAGATATAAAAAGCTGGAAAATGTATTTTGGTACAGTTAATGTGAGCTGGGCAAAAGTATTTATTAAGGACCACTAATATATAGAAGGAAAACATGAAAAAAAAAAGAAGGGAACTGTCTTTTTAAAATTACATGCCAAAAGTGTGTTATAATTTTATGTTGAGAAACTGTGTACTCCAGCTGCACTGGCATTTTCTTAATTCTTGAAATGGGCTGTGGGGCCCTCCCCTCCCCATCCCACAATGGCCCTTAAATAACCTTTTTGACCTATTTTGAAGTTCCCACTTCCAGACCCTCTCTGATCTTGGTCTCAAAAAGCCTCAAAAAAGCCTCCTGATTCTCAGCTGGGTCAGGATCCACATTATATGCTCTCAAAGTACCACATTCTCCCTCAGGAAACTTTTATTAGAGGGAATCTATGTTTATTAGGGGGAATATATGATTAACAATCATCCTCCTCCTCCCTAACCTATAGATCAGGGACTTGATTTATCATGCCAGCTTTTATCACCACTTTATCTTCTGGCTAAGTGACTGGCTTATAGTTGGAGCTCAACAGATATCAAGAGAAAGAGAAAGAATATGAAAGAATGAGAATCAAAATTTTATATGATCAGCTGGGTGCTGGTGGCTCATGCCTGTAATCCTAGCAACTCAGAAGGCTGAGATCTGAGGATCATGGTTCAAAGCCAGCCCAGGCAGGAAAGTCTATGAGACTCTTATCTCCAATAAACTACTCAGAAAACCAGAAGTGTTGTTGTAGCTCGGTAGAGCACTAGATGAAGAGCTGAGGGACAGCACCCAGGCCCAGAGTTCAAGCCCCACAACTGACCAAAAAAAATTATATAATCACAGTTTTAGAGTTATCATTTAAAGTAAAAATAAATCTCCAAATATACATGGTAACTTACAAGGCCATTCAATAGTAAACTAAATAGTAGGTGAATGGTTTGAACACCACTATGTACTCAGGCTGTGGCATATAGTAGAGTATTTACACACCTGTTTTTGTAAGTAAGACGAACAGTTCTTGTGCCTTCACATTTCCCAGGCTGCTGTTCTTTGGATGCCTGTTCCCATTTAGAAATAATGTCACAAATCTAGAAGGAAAGTAGAAAATTGAAATTCATGACTTAAAAAAAAAACATTATTTTTTTAAATATTGTAGCTGTAGTTTGAAAATTTTCAATTAATATGCTCAAACCAAATGTGTTCTGGCTTTTTGTTTTCAACTTGTGTGGAGTTCTGATCTTGGGATTTAACCACAAATTATTCTTTGGTCTACTTATCCTTTTGGACACAAATTAACTTGGGACTGTGGCCATGAAATTTTTATTCAAAAAGGAATCTCAATGCATGACTAAAAGAGAGTGGACATAAGAAGATTCCAGGAATTTTTTTCATGATTTGGTCATGAAGAAGCAATTTTTCCACCTTCTAAGTTTATGAATATTGGAATAACTGAAGTTATACCAAGGAAATCTGAGGCATAATACAAGAAAGCTCCAGACCCAGTTCCAGCTGCTTGATTTAAGGGAAATCTTTTCTTTCTCTGGCCTCTGTTTCCTCATTTGTAAAGTAAATTGCCTGTTTCTTACTATAGTCCCTTGTGGTTCTCTAACTGTATGTTTCTAATTCTTGTCATCATTCCATGGAAACTTCATTAAATACACTTTACTATGATTTGGAAAAGATTTTTTAAAATTTCTTCTTTATTTCTAATCAGTCCATTTTCTACCCATCCTTCAAACTGCAATTCAGACCTCTAATTCCCAATACTGAGCTTAATTTTCTCTTGCACAAAGTTCAAAGCCTTCTTAAAGCATTTATTACTTTCAATTCTAGTTTAAAGTCATCAGTGTATAAGTCTGCTCTTCTCTATATAAATCCTAAGTTCATTGTAGGCAGAAGCCATTTCATACTGTGTTTTTCACATGCACTAAACTAGTACACAGGACACTGAAAACGGCTTAGCAATACTGCTGAATAAATGAAAAGCTATTATTTTTGATGCTACTGGGATGTGAACTCATAACCTTGAGTTTGCTCAGCAACTGCTCTATCACTTGAGCCATGCCCCCACCTTGTCAGAGCATTCACGCCTCTATTCTTATTACTCTAAAATTCAGAATATTATTTCCATCATTAGAACTATTTTTCTCTTTCACATGATATATATGTGTGCAGATTGCATATTGAGAATTCTATGGCCTCTCCAAAGTCCTGCAATTTTTTTTTAATTGTGAAGATTAGGTTGCTTAAATGGGAGGAAATCTCCTGAACTATGCTTGCAAAGACTAAACAGTAGCTAGCTTCTATGCTGTATACTGGGGATGGCTCCTTCAAAGGTCTTAGTTTCACCTTGATGTTTCCTTGAAGACAATGCTCTAGGTCTTTGCCAGATGGATCATCAGTGAACAACGCGAATCCAGACTGTACAGGTTTCCTCATTCCTGTGTCTTGGTTCAAAGTGTTCAAAAATTCTTCCACTGTGGTGGATGCATCAAACCCAACTACCTAGATAAAAACAGCAAAACTGTCTTGTAATATAAAATACATACATTTCAAACAGAGATTCTAGGAGAAAATGGGGACATACTTGATGGATGACTAATGATAATATATATTTCTCTATGGTTTTAACTTTTTGTTCTCAACCCCCACTGGAGAAAATAGGAAAATTACTTGCGCTGTCAAGAATTCAGAGATCTCAGCTTTAGTGAACATGAATTCAAAACAAAAAGCTCATTCTACCACCATAAATATATGTCAGACTTAAAAAAATACATCTGGCAGAGATATTAATGATCACTTACCCATTAAAAGTTAACCAAGAATGATAGTACAGTATGCAATCATTAAGCAAATTTAAAAAATAAACAAGAAATACATTTGAATAAACACTGTTATGTATTTAATGTTTGTTTAATGACTAGTTAAGTCTCTGAATTCTGTGATGAAAGGCTTATGGCCACAAAGACTAATTGCTAGTTTTGGAACATGTTTCCTTCAGTTAATAGGGGAGCATCCATATCTGATTGCTGGAAGAATCTAAGCAAGTGTTCTCAGATAAGTGCTGAGATGGCAGATTTTAAAAGAGACTAAAACTGTACAAACCCAATGTTAAGCAATGATTTCCTAACCTAACAAGTGGATTAGTGGGGAAAAAGTCTGGTCAAAATGTTTTTGTTTTTGTCCATCAGAATAATAATGTCAGTGAAGCACATTTCCTTTTTTTGGTCTAATATAGATTTGCTTTTAAACAGCAAAACTGTTTATAGGTGAGTTTAATCAGGGTTCATTGTATGCATGTATAGAAATGTCACAATGAAATCCCTTCCTTGTATAAATAATGTATGCTAATAAAAAAAATCTGCTTGTATGTTTATCTCAGCAAGTTGCTAACTAAGCCATGTAGTCAGCCACTCTTCTTTATTACATAAAGGTTAAACATAGGAGCTGTGGCTAAACAGATTTTACCCACCTGATATATCCCATTCATGAAGTGCACCGGTATGCTAAAGGGCAAAGAATGATGATAAGGGTTTCGAAGAAGTGTTGAAAGAATTTCCATTCTAGAGGGTCTTGCTTCACGATCACCGTTTTGTTGAGTTCTTTCTACACATCGCTGACAGTAAATAGCGTATTTCCCAAATTCTGTCCTGTTATATAAAATGTAAGATTAAAAATCTCAGGATATATTTAATTAAGACAATCTAATTTATGCAATCATTTAGGAAGTTTCACTTAGACATGGTTATAATCTTAGTAGTCAGGAGGCTGAGGAAAGAGGCTTCTGTTTTGAGGATAGCCTGGACTACCTACATAATTCTTGTTCAGTATGAATAACTTTATGAGAATCTGCTCAACAAAAAGTAAAAGCTTCCCTTCCTGTTTATAATGTTAGGATAATTTTGCCAGTTTTTCTTTTCTTTTTTCTTTTCCATTTTAATTAAGTAGTTTCACCAAGAGGTTTCAATTCTATAAGTCAGGTTATGAGTACAATGCATTTTGATCAATTACCCTTTCTATCATTCTCCCTCCAGTTATTTCTCTTTTTGAATGCTAGAATTAAGCTCCTTTCTTTTCCCTCCCTCCCTCTCTTTCTCTTTCTTTCTTTCTTTCTTTCTCTTTCTTTCTTTCCTTCATTCCTTCCCTTCCCCTCCCTTCTTTCCTTCCCCTCCCTTCTTTCCTTCCCCTCCCTTCTTTCCTTTCCCTTCCTTCCTTCCTTCCTTCATTCCTTCCTTCCTTCCTTCCTTCCTTCTTTCTTCCTTCTTTCTTTCCTTCTTCTTTCTTTCTTCTTTCTTTCTTTCTTTCCCATCGTGGGGCTTGAACTCAGAGCCCATGTGCTGCCCTGCTCTTTTGTCTCAAAGCTAGCCCTCTACCACTTTGAGCTCTTCCTAAACTTCTTTATTTTTGTAACAAACATCCTTACAAAACTTTTTTTCATTATGTTATAATGTAGCAATATGTCGCATGTAGTTATATTAATATTAGCCATAGTAATAAACAATGTCATGCACAGATCTATTTCCCTTTCTATCCTCCAAAACATGCACATGTTAAAAATGATAAGATGTATATACAATTTCTGTTTTGTTTATAAAAGCTGATTGATAACACCTGTAAATATATTTTTATCTGAATGTCTTCTAGACGCACCAAAGCTTGCCACCCCTGGTCTGAGGACTCCACAGTGACTGCAACTATAATTACTTGACCTTGATCATGGCATCCCCAGAATGAATTATGAGCTGCAGGATATTTTCCTATTGTTCCAAGTTGTTTTTTGTTGTATTCATCCCAAAGCCTGTTTTAGCAACCTAACGAACGTTTGGGGCCAGCGCTCCGTTGGTAAAGTGCATGGGGAGCATGGACAAAGCCCTGGGCTCCATCTTCAGCAGTACAGAGACATGCAAACAATCACCTAAGAAGAATAATTTGATGGAAAAATATAAACCCGCATAAGCCTTGTTAAAGGACTCTGGGTCCCATTCTAAGTAAATCTTCCAATAGCTAGATTTGAAATATCTTTTTCATAGAAATACATTCTGAAGTAATTAAAATGCATATAATTTTATAAAAGGATGAAGACAGGGAGAGTCTTCCACATGAAAGAATTCAATGTGGTTTTAAAAAAACTAATAAAATGGAAAACTAAGGAAACAAAATAGGTTCTTTTATTGAATGAGTGCCTGTTAATGCTGTCATCTTACTTGAAATGCAATAGACTTTTCACTTGAGAATGATCTTTGTCAGATTTCAAGCTTTTACTGTAATTTTCCATAAGAGATTTAACAGAACAAAGAAATTTATTTTCCAAGTGCCCCATAAATGGTAACAAAAGGCTTCTTGTCCCAATATTTGTTTTACACATTCTTCTGAAAATGTACCTGGCAGGTTATTAAATACTTATGATTTATTGTAGACTTTCAGAGGTTACATAAACAGTTCGGTTGGCTAGTTTTCTGCACACCTGCAATCTGCGTTCTTCTTTAGATGGAGCCTGAGGAGCCACAGGAAAGGATGAAGGGGAAGGAAGAGGCCAACACACAGCGCCAAAAGCTGCCAGCCCTGGGCAAAGAGAAGCACTATGAGTTAGATACCATGCACAATAGACAGCCAAGTGGGGGAGGGTGCCTAACAGAGGTTGTGAGAGCAATGGGTTGATGGATTGTGTCTCTTAATTAATCCAAATAGTTGCTTCTTCCACATGTACATTTATGCATCATAAAATGCATAAAATGATTCACTTATTCAAATCCATGATCTATATAGCTATGTATTGAGGTACCAAAGCACTAGTAGATTTAGTACTTCTTTTTAATATTATACTTAATGATTAGGGACATTACTCTTTTCCTTTATGTGTTTACCTCATTCATCAAATTATAAATAAATTTGAGAAAGACATATATAACCCAAATGCATATGCATGCACACACATGTGCACGCACACACACGTGCGCACACGCACACGCGCACACACACACACACACACACACACACACACGGGCCAAGTTCTTAAAAGTATTCACAGAGGTTAACTTTAAGTTACAGGATTATATATGATCTTTATTTTTCTTTTGGTCTGTTTTACATTCTTTTCTATTTTTTAAAAAAATGTGTTATTATAAACATGATGTACCAGAGGGACTACTGTTTCTTTTTTCCATTAAGCAAATATCACTTCAGTAATTCTTAAATTGCCAAATAGAAAAGGAAGGGGAATAGGCTCTGTCCCTGCCCTTAAGAAGCCTATGGTCTAGTAGGAAACATTTAAATATTTGAACAGTAAATTATAGTAAAACAATAATACTCTATATTCATTTCTAAAAGTTTAACCAGTGGATGGAATGGCTAACTACAGTGGAGTCATGGAAGGACCTACTGGCAAGATGATGCTTAGGATGGGCTGTAAAGTCTAAAAGCAGGAAGTAGCTGGGTACTGGTGGCTCATGCTTGTAATCCTAGCTATGCAGGAGGCTGAGATCTGAGGTCTAAGATCTGCCCAAGCAGAAAAGTCTGTGAGACGTTTTTTTTAAAGTTTTTAAAATTGTTTTTATTGTAAAGGTAATGTACAGAAGGGTTATAGTTACAACTCTTATTCCCAACAAACTACTCAGAAAAAGCCAGAAGTGGCGTGGTGGCTCAAGTGGTAGAGTGCTAGCCTTAAGCACAAAGAGGCTCAGGGACAGCACCCAGCCCCTGAGTTCAAACCCCAGGACTGGCAAGCAAATAAATAAAAATAAAAGTAGGAAGGAAAAAGAGGGAATCTAAGTGACAGGAATAATGCCATGACAAGACAGAGAATATTGCAAAAGTCTGTATAAAGAAGGTGGACATTCCGTTCATTCACCGTTAAACAGGGAGAGTCCATTCATTTATTGTGTCCTAGATGCAAAAAGTGGAGAAAGAGGAGCCAGTGTATTGGCTCCACTGAGTTTAGCCTCAGAACCACTGTCTTGCATAGCCCCATTCCAAGGCATTGTGAAGGGCCCTATCAACTGTGCTCATATGGTTATACATTTTTAAATACATATCAAAGTAATGTATTCTGTGCTCCTTTTCTTATAGAGGATTTCCCAAATGGAGTAAGCTTTAAGTACCACAAATCTTAGATCCAACTGAGAGTCTTAATCACTAGCATAAGAAATTTCCATTTTATTCTATGGTTAACAGGGAGTCACACCATGCAGACAGAAGAAACCATTCACTACAAAGCAAACACAAATGACTACCAGTGAAAAATATATGCAATTACACTAATAATTAAAGAAATGAATCCCATAACATAGTGAAATACTACTGGATGGAACTTAAAATACTGTGTCTTGTTGAAGATATAAGAGAATTCTAGAATAGGATGAGAGGAATTCAGTAGATAAGACACAAGTGTCCAAGTTTGAAAGATGTCTAATGTAGAGATATTTATTACAGGACAAACAAATGGAAGAATCTAAATGTATAGTAATTGATATTAATGTCACCATTGATATTTAAAGATGTGAGGTAGTGGTTATGTCCTATAGTTTAAAACTACAGTTTATAATGAAATCCCATAATATGAAAAACTATGAGTTTTCATAAATCCATAAACATGTATACATTTATGTATAAACTTGTATATATACATATACACAAAAGGATATACATCAGAATATTAATAGCTATTTTTCCTTTCACTTTTTTTCTAAATGTCTGTGCTGAATGTATATTATTCTTACAACCAAGAAAACAACATCACTTTAAACTGCATATAGCAATACATACCTGCAATGGTCCTGGTTGATTCTGTGGCTGCCTCCGTCTTGTCTGTTTAATAAGTTGACAGCAAATTTCATTCTGTAGCTCAGGATGTGTGAGACAGACTTGCAAAGCACTCTGGGCTAGAGATATATGGTAATCAATTGCAGGAGAATCAACTGCTGCATTTATAAAAAGCTGGCAGGTCTGAATGGAACAAGAAAAGACATACTCAAGGTAAGAAATGATGCCACTTACTCCGTAAGAATTATATTGATTCTCTTTTTAGTGATAGTTTTTGTTTAAAATGAAATAAAAAGAAATGCTATGATAACACAAAATGTAAGTATGAAGTAGTTATAAGTATGAAGTAGTTATGGTAATAGCAGATTGAAGTAGATTTCAGAGCAAGGAATTTGATCAGATATGAAAGGGTCAGGTTACCTAGAAGACATGACAGTCTGAAATAGTAATGTATTTAATAGCAGAGCTTTAAAATGCATGTTAATTTCAGCTAGTATGTGAGTCATTTTTGCCAATGCATTTTCATCCCAAAAGTTCAGTTTGGGTCTTTAAATTTTTTTTTTTTTTTTGTCGATCATGGGCTTGATTTCTGGGCCTGAGCACTGTCCCTCAGTTCTTCAGCTCAAGGAGAGCACTCTACCACTTGAGCCACAGTGCCACTTCCAATTTTCTGGTGGTTATTTGGAGATAAGAGTCTCATGGGGGCTGGGAAGGTGGCTCAGTGGTAGAGCACTTGCCTTGCATGCTCAAGGCCCTGGGTTCGATTCCTCAGCACCACATAAGCAAAAAGAAAAAAGCTTTGAGCTGAAGAGCTGAGGGACAGTGCCCAGGCCCAGAGTTCAGGCCCCACGACTGGACCCAAAAAAAAAAAAAAAAAAAGAGTCTCATGGATGCCAGGTGCTGGTGGCTCACGCCTGTAATCCTAGCTACTCAGGAGGCTGAGATCTGAGGATTCTGCAGATCTGCAATTCTAGCTACTCAGGAGGGCAGGAGAGGCTGTGAGACTCCTATCTCCAATAAACCACCAGAAAACCAGAAGTGGCACTGTAGCTCAAGGGGTAGAGCACTCGCTTTGAGCTGAAGAGCTGAGGGACAGCACCCAGGCCTAGAGTTCAAGCCCCACGACCGACCAAAAAAAAAAAAAAAAAGAGTCTCATGGAGTTTCCTGCCCGGGCTGGCTTTGAACCATGATCCTCAGATCTCAGCCTCCTGAGTAGCTAGAATTGCAGGCGAGAGCCACCAGCACCTGGCTTGGGTTTTTAAATTCTTTACACTGAACTCCTCAAAATGTACATTCTTCCCTGTACTTTATTAAATTAAAAAATGTGGTGGTACCGATTCTATAAGTTATTAAATTATAAAATGTGGTGGTACCAATTCTGTAAGTTAGTCTTATGTGGCTTCCACCTCTAGATTCTCATGCTCTCAGACAAAAACTTCTCATGTTGTACCAGTGTTGTACATGTGACCAGTAGCCACTTAGCATAACTTTCCTGGGGTTGATTTACAAAAAAAAAAAAAAAAAATGCCCCATAGCTTCCATCTTGGTTGTTCTTGCCTTCTTAGTTCAAACCTTGCACACTGGGGCTGAGAAGGTGGCTCAGTGGTAAAGTGCTTGCCTTGCATGCCTGAGGCCCTGGGTTTGATTCCTCAGCACCACATCAGCAGAAAAAAAAAAAAGCCGGAAGTGTCATTGTAGCTCAAGTGGTAGAGCACTAGCCTTGAGCTGAAGAGCTGAGGGACAGTGCCCAGGCCCAGAGTTCAGGCCCACGACCGGACCCAAAACAAAAACAAAAACAAAAAAAAACCTTGCACAATGTATTTCAATAAATTCCAAATTTAGAAAGCATAGTAAGTTCACCTAATTTAACTTCCATGGATTTTCTTAATAATCATCTTCATCAAGTTTGATTATTTTTGGAAAGAGATAGCAATTTTACCTTAAATAACTTAATAGCTTCTGTCTGTAGAGCTTCAGAAGGCAATGTGGTGAGAGGGGACAGGATTCCTTCTTTGCTGTGACACAAAGTGGGGTGTCGCCATATCTGGGAAGCTAACCACAGAAGAACATATATATGAACAGAAAACAATACACATGTTTTGGCCTCCCACTAGACTGACACTTGGGAAATAATCTCTTTCACTTTTGGCTCACAACTGTCATCACATAGGCCAGGAAAAAACATTGGCAACTTTATTTTACTTCAGTTTTCAGTCCACTGAAATTTCTCCTTTTCTGTTCTACATGAAGTAAACAAAGAACTGGATCTCAGACTTTTAGGTTCCAAGAAGTCTCCTGGGGCAAAGTCATATTTATTGATTAAATGTGCCAATGAGTGGTAACCTATGATCATATTTATTGATTAAGTGTGCCAATGAGTGATGCTTTTACATGAAAAGGGGCTAGGGGAATGGCTTAGGGAGAAGCAAAATAGAAAGAAATATAAAGATAAAGAAGAATGCCAAGTCATTCCTAAAACCCACTTCTATAGGTTGGGGGTATAGCTCAGTGGTAGAGTAATTGCACAATATGTATGAGGCCCTGGGTTCCATCCCCAATACTATTAAACAAATTCTATACTGGACACTGCAAATAAGATGTGGCCTCTGTAGGTATGTAAGACAAAGGATAAAAATCTAAACTGTTAATGGAAAACCTTAGCCACAAAATAATTTTATCCAGATGCTGACTGCTCATGCCTGTAACCTTGCTGATAGAAAATAGAGATTGAGAGGATTGTGGTTTGAGGCCGACTTCAATAAGACGGTGTCAACAAGACACCATTGCAACAGAAAAGGCTAGGTATGGTAACATGCACCCATCATCTCATTTAAAGCAGGTAGCATAAATAAATAGTTCAGTCTTGCCCTAGGTAAATATAAATCTCTATCTCAAAAATAACCAGAGCAAAAAGGGCTGAAGGCATGGCTCGAATAGTAGAGAGCCTTCTTAGGAAGCAAGAAGTCCTGGGTTCTAATCCCAGTACTGCCAAAGAAAGAAGGGAGGAAAGAAAGAAAAGATTAATTTCAAATGCATAGCTACAACAGTTATAAAAGAGTTAAAAGGCAAAGTACATTGGGGTCTAATTTTGACACTGATTAAATTCCTTTTGTACAGCCAGCTGCAGAGCTGGAGTGGGCTGGCTGAGGTTTCGTCATGTGATGAGGACTGCCAAGGAAGGGGGCACTCCCAGCACAGGGAACAATATGAGCAGGAGTGGAGGAGTGTGACAGGACATAGCACATTCAGTGAAGATGGTGCTCCTAGAGCCTGAGAACCCCGACCAATTGCAAGTAAAGCCCATGACAAGGAGGTATACTGCAAAGAAACAGGAATCCACAGTAAAAAAACTCCCTCACAGCCTAATGGGGTCAGGTCCCACAGCATAAACTGTAAGGCTGCAGATGCTTGTGAACTTACAAGGTTCCCCTTCTATGTTAAGCAATTTGCAAACCAGTTGTTCAAATTCAGATCCAACATTTATATTGTTACTTCCAGCTGCAACAGTCAGATGATAAAGCCAAGTGTCCTTAAAAATTAGAACATATTGATCAAAATGTTAGCCAACATATATTTTTAAATAAGTTTTTTATTGTGAAAATACTGTACAGAGGGGTTACAGTTACATGAGCACGGTAATGAGTACATTATTATCAAGCATTGTTGAGAACAACTTAAAAAATAGTTAAAGAAAACTTTTGTGTTTTACATTTAGCAAGGATTTATCTAGTAAAGTAGGATAAAGTAAGGAGAAATTTTTTTTTAAAAAAAAAGGAAAGCACTTCCTGATTCACATGCAGAAAGGAACAGAGAGGATGAAAATGGCAGCTCTGACCCAGGGTACAATATCTGAACTAGGAGATTACAGCTTGAACTCAGTAAAAGAAAACCTTGAGACAGAAAAGAAACAACATTCTTTAATTTTTAAATAATAATTAAAAGCTATTTTATCGAACATCTGAGTTGAATTGAAACCTATGTTTACTACTACGTAAAGATTAAAAAGATTTGTAATACATTTTGAAATTGGGTGTGTGTGTGTGTGTGTGTGTGTGTGTGTGTGTGTGTAAAACATTTAAGGAGGCCTTGTGTTCTCTTTCTCAAGTAACCACATTTAAATAAGCCTCATTTCAAAGTAACTACAGAATCTCTGAAAACAGCTAAGAATCTTTGGTAAAATTCTTGTTTCTATAAAAGTAATTTTATAACTATTGCCATACTTGAGTAGTATTAGTCTGCATCATTTAGAATCAACCAGGAAGTCTCTAAATACCTTTTCATGTTTGGATCCAATTAGGAGGTAAGTAGGACCTAGGTCTTTGGGGTGGATAACGATGGTGTAATGAGTGGATAACAAACTACGTCCACTGGCTTCATAATCTTCATCTGAATCACAGGACCTGTCCACCTCTTCAATTTTCGCCTCCCAGAGTTTGATCTGACCTAAAGGAAACTGAAGTATAGGTTAGTAATTGTAAGGGAGGCACTTTCTAGGTATTTTCCTATTGAAAAAATTTCATGCTCCTTCACATCTTTATCCTTAAAAAGCATAACTCTTAAAAAATTGACTATCTAGAGGTTATCCTTATTAGATTATTTATTTGTTACAAATGTAATTGCAATAGTAAAAGGCCTGATTGTAATATGAAAGAATAATATAAATACCAGACCTTTAGTCTTTTAAGGATAAAGACACCAGTGGTTCAGATTATTCACATTATGGACTAAAATGACCCATTTATTAAACAAGTAACTAGCAATAATTCAGTTAAAACATCCAGTTGACTTGTTATTGTTCTCATAGAATTGATTGATAATTTGACTGAGCTAGTGATCAAAAGGAAAAGCAAAGACATGGTCTCAATAATGTCAGTAAAGCAATAATAAGAGTAGACAACTGGTACAAACACTATTACCCAGGCTCCAGTTAATAAGTAGTGTTTTAAGGATATTTAAAAAAACCTAACATACCCTAATACAATGTATTATAATGTGATGGATTTCTCCCATCTTAATTTAAGGGTGGAAAACCTAAACTGATTTACATTAAATTTTAACCTTTTACTGACAAAACAAATATATCTTCCATGCTAGGTATTTTGCATATTTGTTTTAAAACTTTGTCTTTAATAAAGTATATTTATTTCAGGAAAATACACAGTATGCTTCAGATTTAGAACCTGTAAAAATATCTGGTCAGATTTGCAATTGCAACTCTTTGAAAAAGTCCATTCTGACCACAAAGACATTTACCATGACAGATTTCATATTGGGCTCCAGAAGTCAGTGCTTGCACTATTTCCACTTACACTCTGTCTGGGTGATCTCAGTTCAACGAAGGGCTTTAATCTCCACATACGTTAGCTACACCCAAATACCAAACTCCAGTATCATGATCTGTATATATAACAGCATCTCAAGCTTACATTGGCAAATCTACCTTGACAACCTGCTCTGATCAAAGTTGTCAATAACTTGAGGTTTTCAAGTGTGTAAGTCAAAAACTTTGTCATCATCCCTGACCCTTTGCTTCCACTCATATGCTACCTTGAAGGGTTAAAGTCTTGAGGCAGTGACCATTTGTTGCTTGTTTATGTCAGCTAGCAGAGCAACACGTGGTGGTAATCCAAACACCTGGTTGTGTGCCTTTATAAGCCCTGCAAATCCTTAGCTCCAGGCTCTCCTCCTAGGCTCTGCTGTGTTGGAGTGTAGGATGAGGTCCGAGCTGCAGCCCATCTAAATAAAACCTTGCTTTTGCATTTCGGAACGTCTGACTCTTGGTGGTCTTCTTGGTGGGGTCCTGCGACTTGTGCACAACAACCTTTGTAGCCGGTAAGCCCTGACATCCAGAGTCTAAGACTACATCCAGAGTCTCGTCCCTTCTTTGGACTCCATCGCCACCACCTAGTCACAATCATCTTTCACCTGGATGACTACCATAGCCTTTTGCCTACTCTCTTCCTTGTCCCCTCCAGTCTATTCTAAATGGAAACTGTGGAATTACTGTTAGACATGTTAAAATCATTTCCCTGTTCTTCTCAAAACCCTCCAATGGCTTCCCATCTCATCATAAAAGCGGGCGGGGGGGGGGAACGAGAAACACGCTTAAGATACCTAAAAGGATTGTTTTGAACTAAATGCTTTAAAAAATAAAAAGGGGCACTCTGACCCTCCACTTTTTTCTTCTCCAAAGCAAGAAATAAATTGCCATATGGAAGTTATCTTCACTATAACAGAAGGAAAACAACATTCTTATCATCAGGGTCAGGAACTTGAAGCCAAGGGAAGCTTATAAAAACATTTCTTGTTAAACTATCTCTTGCCTTGCTAGTCTCTTCTCCCCCTAGCTAGCTTTCTAGTCTAAGTTTGTTTGCCTTGCCATGTTTATCCAATTAACTACTCTTTGTTCAAATCCTAGTGCTGCCAAAAAAAGGAAGGAAGGAAGGGAGGGAGGGAGGGAGGCAGGGAAGAAAGGAAGGAAGGGAGGCAGGGAGGGAGGCAGGGAAGAAAGAAAGAAAGGAAGGAAGCTAGGAAAGGAAGAGTGGGAGGAAGGGAGGGAGAAGGAAGGAAGGAAGGAAAGAAGGGAGGAGGGAGGGAAGAGAAGAGAGGAAGAGAGGGAGGGAGGGAAAGACAAAGAAAGAAAATAGAAAAATGAAAATCTATCCTTCTGAAGCTTTTGTGTTCATATTAATGTGTTTCTCATAAAGATACTCATTTTGTTCATCTTCAAAACCAATCAGAAAGTTTTGCAATAAGAAAAAAGACACCAATCTAGGTTCCAAGATTGTTTTAGAAATGTTTACACACCAAGTGTTTTGTGTGTACATATACATATGTGTGTACATGTATGTAGACCTATACTGACTTACATGTATTCTCAATAACATCCCATAATTATAATTGGTTCCTATTATTATTCTAGATCCTGTCTTGTTTTTTTCTATAATCAACACTATTCATTTTTCTGGTGAATGTTCGTAATTCCAGCACTCAGGATCACCTGTGGCAGGAAGATCACCTAGCCTAGGATATTATTTTTTAAGGTTATAATAGGACAATTGATAGACAGGGTAAGATTGGATTCTTCTAATACACAATTTTATGCTCCCCAAGACTTTTTAACTAGTTTGCCATGCACTTCTTTCAACCTCATCTAGTCTGCCAGAACATGGGAAAACAATAAAAAGTGATAGCTGGGAGAGAGGTATAAGATGTTTAGGTTGTAGAAGATGCAACAATTAAAAGTTACTAAGGCTTCTAGATGCAGTAATGAGAAGTTACTAACCAAATTCTGTTATCATCCTTGCCTAAAATTAAGAATCAAGACCCGGGCTGGGAAGGTGGCTCAGTGGTAGAGCGCATGCCTTGCATGCCAGAGGCCCTGGGTTTGATTCCTCAGCACCACATAAGAAAAAAGCCGGAAGTGGCGCTGTGGCTCAAGTGGTAGAGGCTAGCCTTGAGCTGAAGAGCTGAGGGACAGTGCCCAGGCTCAGAGTTCAGGCCCCATGACCGGACCCAAAAAAAAAAAAAAAAAAAAGAATCAAGACCCTTGGAGATGATAGGTATGCAGTTACCTTAGTAATAAATTTAACACTACATTTCATCCTCATCAACTATTCTAAAGTTTTACTTAGAAATAGAAGAGTAAAAGGGAGAACTTTAAAGCAAAAAATCCTCCAAAGAGCATATTAAAAATATATACATACCTTTTCTTCTTGACTACGAAAATAATACAATGTCTTTCCAACAAGTGTACACCAGACTCTCTTGGAGTAGCCATGTTTTACCTGAAATCATATTTCAGTGAATCACAAAGTATCCCAGAGCTCTGTAAACTTACAGCAGAACTGAAGACATTCCATTTGAGCTTCTATTGGGTGTCCAGTTTGCCCAGATAAGCATTTTCCTAGTGGATTATCCAAATGTTATGTGAAATTTGTTTGCACACTATTTATTTTAGAGCTCACCATTCAACATTTAACAGAGCTTCTTAGGTGTCAAGTACTATGCCTAGGACTATGATTTAAAGATGGTTTTAAGAAAAGGTAATGATTCCATAATTGAGACTACTCCTTAGTTGCTAAATTTTCACAGATTTCCAGTAACCCAATGGCTCTCTTGGTTAGCAGCCTATTGTTAAAACTAAGATTAAAACTAAAAGGATTCCTGTGACTTCCCAAGTGTGAAAGCTTCATTCATTTGAGACATTTGATACCTTCTCCAGAAGGAATCGTACAAAATAATTCAATACTATTAAAAGCTGGAGTGCTTGTTCTAGATCAGACACTATGCACTAAGTGTCCAAGACAATTTAAAACTTAGCTCTTGGTTTTGAATGGCCAGCAGTTGATTTAAGTCCTGGGAAAACAACCATGGGCTAGCCACCCCCTCCTAGTTGGCTGTGGTGGTACACCCGAAAAAGGAGGGAGGAAGGAAAGGTACAGGCCTCTTCTGATGGGGCTCAGCCTTGTAAGGATGATAGATAATTAAGTCAGTAGAAAGCTATATAACTTTGTCAAGAAACACACAGTATTTTCCTTATAATGCTTTTTTCTGGGAGATATTTTCAAAAAATGTATTTGAGTATTATAGGCTTATTACCATTTGGTGGCTTTATAAAGTCCCTTACTGCAAGTTCATTAACCAATCTGCTCTAATCACTGCCTTTGTATAGACATCAGAGATCTTTACCAGGCAGTCCCTACCATATTCTCCATCCTAGAGAACCATCAAAACCTCTAATTCCTACCAATGGTAAGACTCCTGCCCTAGCACGTAATATTCATGCTTGAGTTTGCTTTGTATCCCACTTCCCTGGGAGTGGTTCTGCCAACAAAGCTCTGCCAACTTCTGCTTCAAGGGTAATCCTCTGCTGCGGTGTAAGACTAGTTCTGTCCAACAGTCCTATAAACCAAGACACTGCCCAGTAAAACCAATTCTGTTGACATACTTGCCTACAATGATAAGAAGTAAGGAGAGGGCAGGGAAGGTGGCTCAGTGGTAGAGTGCTTGCCTTGCATGCCTGAGGCCCTGGGTTCGATTCCTCAGCACCACATAAGCAAAAAGAAAAAAGCTGGAAGTGGCGCTGTGGCTCAAGTGGTAGAGCGCTAGCCTTGAGCTGAAGAGCTGAGGGACAGTGCCCAGGCCCAGAGTTCAGGCTCCACGACCAGACCCCCCCCCCCAAAAAAAAGAAGAAGTAAGGAGAAACAACAAGTAGGAAAGAAGAGGAAGTTTGGGAGAGGTGGAGAGGTTGTTACCATTTAAAATGTGGTGGTCCATGATGGGTGCTTGCATGTAATCTTAGCTACTCAAGAGGCTGAGATCTGAAGATCACGGTTTGAAGCCAGTATGGGCAGAAAAGCCCCCATGAGACTCTTATCTCAAATTAACTACTCAAAAACTGGAAGTAGTGTTATGGTTTAAGTGGTAGACTGCTAGCCTTGAGCACAAAGAGGCTCAGGGACAGTGCCCAGGCCCTGAGTTCAAGCCCCACAACGGACAAAGATAAATAAAATAAAATATACGGTAGTCCCAATGGAGAGATTTGAGGGAAAAGCAGGTGTGTCTGGGATCTGAGAGATGATGCCTGAAGAATCTCAGGAACAGTGAGTGCAGCTGAGTGTTTGAGTCTGAAGGAGGGAGGGGAGAGGTGTTGGGCAAGGGATGAAGATCTGTAGGATCTCAGAGGGCCTTGTAATGGCTTACATTTAAATGAACTATTCTTATAGTCATTCACTGAAGAATACAAATGATTGCTTCCAAAGATTTTACATCAAGCAAGTCACTACAGTAGAAAAGTCTAGGACTGAGGTTTAAGTTCAAGTTCCACCACATGTATGGACATCTTCTGGAAACTGACTTTTCTTTTGGGAGCTTTTTCTTTTGGGAGTCGTGGAGTTTGAACTCTGGGCCTGGGTGCTGTCCCAAGGTGAGTACCACTTGAGCCACAGCGCCACTTTTGGTTCTCTGGTGGTTTATTGGAGATAAGAGTCTCCTTCCCCAAGTTGGCTTTGAACCGTGATCAGATCTCAGCCTCCTAAACAGCTAGGATTACAGGAGTAAGCCACCTGGCCCAGCCCTGACTTAACTTTTCACTGTCTTTAACATAACATGGGACTATTGGCCACTTCACTGGGCTGTTGTGATGATCAAACAAAACAATGTAAATAAAGGGTAATAGAATTTAGACAATAAATATTTTCTTCTTTACTATGCATAAGAAGTAAAACACATGTTTTCCTTTAAACCCACAAACCCAGGCTGCCTTTGGGCTTTCTAAGCTATGGTTTAAACAAATAACTCCACTACTAATAGTTTGATGGATTTTCCTTCTTGAGGAAAACAAAATAAAACAAAACAAAAAATTTGTTTCACTTGGCAAGAGTTGTTTCAACTTAATTAAATTTGGAAACATATATTTATAGGCAAATATCCTGGCACTTTTAAATAGAGTTATGCAAGGGGTTTTGTTTTATTTTCTTCCTTCTTTAAACAACTCCAGAAAGAGTCTCCTAAGAATTAGAATTCAATGCATCTAGCTGAAAGATTGTGTACTTTTGCAATTCTTTATTTTGAAAATAGAACAATGATTACTTTTGAAGCACTGTAAATAAATGAAGACTTTTGCCATGAACTCACTGAAAAAGCTGTGTTTTACAAATACAGTCTGTAGGATTTCTCTGACTTTAATGTGAAAACATTATAATAAGACCTAATATTCTAATCCCTATGAAGAGTTAAAAAACAATCTCAACAAAGACACAATGCCTGTGTACATCTGATCATGTATAATAAAATTTATCAAAATGAACTCCAAGAAATGAAAATGAAAAAAGAGACAATCTCAAGGCTTTAATAAACTAAATTACTGAATGAATCTTTATGTTCTTCCAAAAAAAGATACTTCATACCAGTACTGTTTAAATTTTCAAGAACAACAGCTTATTACACCCCAGTGAGCCCAAGTCCTTTCCTTCCCTGAATCCTCCATCACAAATCACCAGTCTTGCTGACTCCACTATCAAGTAGTAGATGTGCCAGGTATTCTTCAAACAAAATTACCTAATTAAGAAAAATTCACTTAAGTGCTCTCAATACCCTGTAAGGTTGGCACTATTATCCCCATTTCACAACTAAGGACATTAAGGTACAAAAAGCCTATAAATGATCTACTCAAGGTCACATAAGTGGCAAGTCAAGAGCCAGGACTTGGGCCCAACTAGTCTGGCTCCCAAGCTCCTGGCCTGTCCTCTTTGCCATATCCTTTTTAATATTCTCTCTCTTCCTTTCTAGTAACCTTTGCTTCCCTTCATTTCTGCCAGGCATCCTCATGGTCAGACCCTTTCTTTCTGTTCCCTCTGGGAACTGCTCCACTCCAGCTCATTACATTCTATTTACTTCTCCTCCCACTTGCCTTTCTATTATTCACACCATTGCTATTCTTTGATCTCATTAAGTCCCCATATCCTCCAATTTTATTGTAGTTTTTGAATATCTTGCTTCAGGGCCCAGGATTAATTTGCATTCCTGTAACTGACAGTCCTAATAGCTGAGATAATTTGAAACTAATAACCTTTATAAAAGGAAAAGAAGGGGTTGGTAAAGCGCCAGCCAATAAGCAAAAGCATCAGATACTGAGTTCAAGTCCTAGTCTTGAACAAAAAAGGGAAAAGATACTTATGTTCAATAAATGTCTACAAAATAACAGTCTTAAATATGTCAATTTTCATTCTAAAATATCAGAAGAAATGAAGCAAAAATATAATAAAATCACATAGAATAACTAATCTACCTTGGCATATATTCCATTCAGACACTTTTCTATGAGTACATATGACAAAAAGGAATAATAATGTACTGCTGCACTGTACTTATTAACAATGCAGCATAATACATAGCATGAAATATTCTTATAACATTCAATAGGCAAAACAAAGTATGATATGATTACAGAAACATATATTTAAGCTATTCCCTACCCTATACATAAGTTGTCAGGGAGGATCTGGCTATGACAATTTTTCTTTATTATAAACTATGGTCTTTCTAGGATAATAAAAATTTACTATATCTTAACATAGTTTCAAGTGAATATTTTCCAAAATTTATTAAGTTCTACGTTTTAAATCTGTGTTTTTCAGAGTATATTGATTATGTTTCATTTATAAAGACAGAAAAAAATTAAAAATAAATATCATTATTACTTCTTAAATCTTTTGCAAATTAAGCCACTTCCTAAGGATTTATTTCTTAAACTGAGATTGCCTGATCAAATCATATATGTCTTAATTATTTAATATTCATTCCATTTAAGGACCTTGCCAAACTGTTTTCCAAAGTATTATTCTCACCAGCAGATATATCTTAGTGTTTGTCAATATTGGGTTTCAACATTTTAAAAAATGTTTTTACGTTCACTGCATTAAAAAAAAATGATCTTCACCACTTCAGTTTGTGCTCTAAAAATGATGCGTGATACTATTCACAGTAGCAAAAACATTGAAACAACCCAGATAACCCATAATTGATGAGTGGATCCAGAAACTGTGATACTTATATGCAAAGGAATTTTACACAGCCATTAGAATAAAATAATGTCATTTGCAGGGAAATGGAGGGAACTAGAAAAATCATGATAAGTGAAATAAGCCAAGATCAGAGAGACACATGGCACATGTTCTCCCTGATATGCAGAAGTTAGATCTATGCACTGGGATATGACAATTACACAGGAGTCTAGATACTCACATACAGTAAGACCAAAAGAGGATAATCTTAAAGAGAATCACAAAGGTGCAATACCCAAACACCTCTCTTCATATGTATATAAAATAATATACATACTGAAATGAACTCCAAAAATATGGAAACAAAGGACTTTTTTCTTAATTTGTTTTTTATTTTTCTGATGACTCTGTATTCTTTACCTTATATATGGTGTATTCACCTGCTCATCTGTGGGAGGTTAGGGAAGGACACAGAACCAGAGGGAAAAGGGTGAAAAAGTGCAGCAGTGGAGTGCATTGGCTGCAAGGACACTGATGAAAGAGAACTATGCAAAAGTGAGCAGATGACATTATGCAACATGAAATGCACTTATGACCTGATGTGTGTAAATGTATCTCACCTCTAAAACAATAATAAAGTAAATTAGAAAAATTATTAAAGATAGTAAAACCTTTTCCCTTACACTTACTGGTCTTCTGTGCTTCTTCTTATCCCTACCTACTTCTTTCCTACTATGTCATGGGTCTTTCTTCCCTTCTGGTACTCATCCTTCTTTCTTTTTTACCAAAAAAAATTACATATCATGCATATTAACTGTTTTTCATACTTTTCGTCTGTGTAGTTTTTGTCTTGGGCATCTTATTTGAACATCCTTCCCTACATTTCCCTATATTTCCTGACATCCACTTTTCTAATGGCTGTGTAAAATTCCTTTGCATATAAGTATCACAGTTTTTGGATCCACTCATCTATTGTGGGTTATCTGGGTTGTTTCCATGTTTTTGCTACTGTGAATAGTATCACGCATCATTTTTAAAGCACAAACTGAAGTGGTGAAGATCATTTTTTAAAATGCAGTGAACGTAAAAACATTTTTTAAAATGTTGAAACCCAATATTGACAAACACTAAGACATCCACTTTTCAGGTTACCAATGATGCAGTTGCTATACACACAAGCTCCTACCTTAGTAAGCAATCCCTTCATTGTTGGTTTTCCCTCAGGCTGCAGGCAAAGTGGGTTAGCAGCTTGTACTCGAAGAACGTTCTGTAACACTTTAATCCATTCATCCAATATATTTGGAGAATCAGCAGTCAGATAGTATGTGTGTTTTTCAGTGGTCAGCTAGAATGTAATAAGAAAGCAAGAGGAAAAGCAATTGTGAACATGTAGGGTTATTAGTACTGCTGTGTCCATTCTTTAACCAACACTGCTTAACATGGATGCAAATATGCTAAATATTGAATTCTAGTTCTAAATAAATCAGTCCCTAGTAATTTATAATACGTTAGTAACTTTGTGAGAATTGTATTTTTTTGTTTCAGTTTACTTTTCAAATTTGTCATAATATAAATTTTGGGGTAGTGATTTTACAACTTGAATCATCACATTATCTTTTTCACCCTTTAATGTGCCATTAAGTAGTTGTTGAATTGAAGAGTAGAATGACTGGAGGATACAATGAAATAGTACAATTTTAGCAAATGAAGAGGAGTTTCTTTATAGAAATGAGGAAATGAACTATAAACAAAATGAGAAGACCTTGCACAAAGATGAATAATTCTTGGAACTAACATGTGACCAGCTATTGTGAACCCAAATATTTCTAGTCTCAAATTAATCACACAGCTAATTTCCCAAATACATCAGAAGCATACAAATAATTCTTAAGAGCCATGCTCTAGGATAAAGTTTCCCAATTCCCGCTTTGAGTTCTCAGTCCACTAAAAACATTGATCATGTACCTTTCTGGCAAATGTTGTCTTCCACCCTCCAAAGAAGCAAGATGATAAGAAAATGATGGTTATTAGAACATTTCAGAAATAAAGTGAATTTACATGAAATATATCAGAATATTTCTCAACAACTTGCTTTAAATGAACAGGTTTCAGGCAAAACTAGCCTTATGGGCAAATTGGGCAGCTACTACTTCTCTGCTGTGATTTGGCAGGACAACCTCTCTGCTCACCAATAGCTCTTCCACTTAGATATAAACACTCACAGTTCATAGAAGAACTGCCATTTAGCTATAATGGTAGCTACTCAGGAAGCTGAGATCTGAGGATTGAGGTTTGAAGCCAGACTAGAAAAGTCTTTGAGATTCTTATCTCAAGGTAACCAGGAAAATATCCAAAGTGGTGCATGGCTCAATTGGTAAAACACCAGTGTTAAGTGAAAAAGCCAAGTGAGAGTAGAAGGCCCTGAGTTCAAGCCCCAGTACTGGCACACTCACACTTGTGCATGCACACACACACACACACACACACACACTCACACACACACACACACACACACACACAGAGCTGTCATTTGTTGGATTCTGTATTAAAATACAAATAATCTTGAATTTAGTTATATATTGCTAACATCTTACTGGGAATTTATTTATTAGATAATCCTCTAAAATGGCCTGTCATTTTGAGAGCTCAGATTATATTCGGGGAAAGAAAAGTATAAGGGTTTTAGAAAAGGTAAAGAAAGTTAATGGAATTATCCAACATAAACTTACTTTATTTTATAGTTTTAACTAAATAGTCTTGGAATGTTTCATTTGAGGATCAGATTCATTACAAACTGAAGAAAGAAATATGGAGTCATTCAATCTCCTTCCATTAGCTTGGATAATAAAATATAATTGATTGGGGGGGAAAGAAGGGTAGGGGAGGAAAGAAGGGTAGGGGATAAAGAAGGGGTAACAATGCTCAATAGGAAATGTATCATTACCTTACTCGTGTAACTGTATCCCCTCTGTATGGTATCTTTACAATAATATATATATGTATATACATATTAAATAAATAAAAAAAATTAATTGGGATTTTCCCCCTTTGGTGCCAGTCCTGGTCCTTGAACTCAGGATCTGGGCAGTGTCCCTGAGCTTTTTGGCTCAAGGTTAGCCACAGGTCCACTTCTGAATTTTGGGTGGTTACTTGGAGAGAAGAGTCTCACAAACTTTCCTGCCCAGGCTGGTTTCAAACTACAATCCTCAAATTTCAGCATCTTGAGTAGCTAGGATTATAGTCATGAGCCACTGATGCCTGGCATGAGATGTTTTTAATGATAACAAAGAAATAAAAACAGTAACAACAATAGCAATAATTAAAAAAATAAGTACCTGCACAGTTTGTTTATTATCTCCTCTTAAAATACTGCAGGATGCATTGAGTTCAATATGGCCCTGAGGTTTCCTAATTACATCGCTCTACATGAAAAAAAGAAAATCAAATGGAAAAAAAAATCAAATGTAAAGAGATTGAATGTAATAGTAATAACAAATGCTTTTACCATTAATACATAATTAATTTTGCATTACAAGAAAGAAAATCAGTAAGGAGTTTTATTTGTATTTGGAGAAATTCAAGCTTAAAGAGCAAGAACTTTATACTCACTGGAGATTTGTAGTAAAGTAATTCGCCACCTTTAAGAACAAACCATCTCCGCTTCCAAGTCTTTACTTTACCACTCATTTTTAGTAGATAGCCAGATTTTTCCAGTGGCTCCTAATTAAAAAGGAAATACTATAAAAAATACTGTAAGTCTCCTTTTGGAGGCTCAAATTAACTAAGTAATTTTTTATGATAAAGCTGATTATATTACAATGATACAAAGATAGTTTACCATATAAAATTAATAAATGTAGCACAGTAAATTAAGAAAAAAAGAAGAAAATCAGATAATCATTTCAATAGATGTACAAATTAGTCCTTGACAAAATTTAGTATCCCTTCATGACAATGGACCTAAAAAAGCTAAGAGTAGAAGAAACCATTGTAATAGTTATATATACATGAAGATTATAACATCACACTAAGTAGACAAGCCAAAAACATTCCTTAATATTAGGAATGAGGTAAGGGTATCATTTCTCTTCATTCTTACTCAAGATAGGGCTTGAATTCTTTCTTTCTTTCTTTATTTTTATTTTTTTGGGGGGTCCGGTCGTGGGGCCTGAACTCTGGGCCTGGGCACTGTCCCTCAGCTCTTCAGCTCAAGGCTAACACTCTACCACTTGAGCCACAGGGCCACTTCCTGCTTTTTTTCTTTTTGCTGATGTGGTGCTGAGGAATCAAACCCAGGGCCTCAGGCATGCAAGGCAAGGGCTCTACTACTGAGCCACCTTCCCAGCCCCAGGGCTTGAATTCTTAACCAGAGCGATAATCCAAGAGAAAGAAACAAAGCACTAGAAATAAACTTAATCAAAGCAGTGAAAGACCACAAAGATGAAAATAAAATAAAAGACCTCCTGTGTCCATGGACAAGCAGAATTGATACTACGGGAATGGCCTACCAAAAGTGTAATCTACAGATTCAATAAAATATCCATCTAAATTTCTTCAGAATTTAATCCCTCAGTCATATATTCTGTTCTTTGAAAGAGTAATTCTACACAAGGTAAAATTGCCTTTAGTTGAATAAAAATATTGGTAGTGGTTATCTAGGGAAGGAAAATTTCTTACTGTTATCTAAGTAATTTTAAAAAAGCTGATAGATACTAAGCTTAGTGCCTATGGCTCATGCCTATAATCCTAGGAAATCAGGGGGCTGAGCTCTGAGGATCAAGGTTTGAAGCTAGTCTGGGCAGATAAATCATTAACGAGAAAAAAAGCTAGAACTGGACCCAAATACATATAAAAAACTTAATATAAGTAAACAAACATCTAGTATTTACATTTTTCCCAATGTCACTGGAAGATGAGCAGGTTTTAGGAAGCTTCTGCTCTGGCTGTAAGCATTCTGTGTCTGTGGCATAGGCATCAGGAGGGATAGCATAATCACTTTCAGAAGCCACAGAACAAACAGACACCCCTAAGAACAGAAATAAATCAAGTCAATATTAATAAGGGCTCTCCAAATGACATCTGTGAGTTCTCCTACAGAATATAAACATTCCTAAGTCAGAAACCACCATAGACTAGATTTATTTTCATTTTTGGCCATGAAGAACTTTAAAAGAAGAAAACAAAACTAATGAGTTAGGAATGCTATGCTAATCTCCAAGGAAGTCAAAGAAACATAAATAATATTATGGCTTGATTACACCCACAGCTGGGGTTATATATATAAAGGATATATAATAGTCTATGTGCATCTTATTAAAAATTAAAAATACTGTATTCACATATTGGTATATAGGCAAACAAATATTCAACTTTAATTTACCAAGACTTTCACAATCGTATTATAAACCACTTAAGTTCTATAATCACTTTTAAAGTAACTCCACACTAAAAAACAACCTATGTCTGGCACAGTGGCTCATGCCTACAATCCTAATGACTTGGGAGTTGGAGGTAGGAATTCATCAGTTTGAGACCATCACAAACAAAGCAAGACTCTATCTCAAAAACAAAATGAAAAAAAAGAGCTGGGGTATATATAACTCAAGTGGTAGGATATTTGCTTAGCAAGCCTGAGGCCCTAGGTCCAATTCCTAGTAATGCTCTAAAAATGCATGGTTTCAATAGTTTCTGGGTATATTTGGTCAGAGGTGGGGCTTGAACACTGGGCTAGGGCACTGTCCCTGAGCTCAACAGCTCAAAGTGAACGCTCTACTGCTTAAGCTACAGTGCCACTTCTGGTTTTCTAGTGGTTTATTGGAGATAAGAGTCTCAGGAACTTTCCTGGCTGGGCTGGCTTTGAACCGGTCATCCTCAGATCTCAGTCTCCTGAGTAGCGAGATTACAGGTGTGAGCCACCAGCGCCCAGCTCAATAGTATTTTTAATGGAAGTAGAATAAGCTACTAGTTGTCATTAAAAAAAAAAAAGTATGCCAGCAGCCTAAAGTAAAATTCATTGGAACTTTCACAATATTTCAGTTGTTTAATTACTTATGACTTGTAAACTACATTTTCAAAATCACAATTGCAGATTTGAAATAAGAAATGAAATCAAGGGCTTACATCATTTTTCATAGTATCTAGCAATTTAACAAAATGCTAACACTTAATGGCCTATTAGAATGATATAGTTCTTGTAATACTTATTAGACTCAGAGAAGTAATCATTATGATTATATCTTTATTTTTCATAGGTAAACAAAGACTAGGGACCTCAGAGATCATCCAAGCTAAGGGCCCATTCTCTAAGTTGTCTAAAACCTAGAGATGACAGGATTTGTCCACAATCAAATAGTTAATGAGGGGCAATGTGGCAGGGAAACATCTCAGGCTACTATCCCCAGGACCAGTGTGTCGGTACTGTCTGATGTGCTAGTGTTAGAACAGACAACAAAACAGAAATGTGTCAGTCCTCAGGGAACCTAGATTTGGGGGATGAGGGGAGTGAGATGACAAGTATGCAGTAAGTGCTCTGAAGAACAGAACATAAAAGTCAGGGTCTGAACGTACTGAGACCTATTCCTGGGAACTGTAGCCTGGATTGTGTTCGCTGATAGTCAGGACTGAAGACAAGTCCAGACCTTCTGAACCATGAAACTCCCACAACTCTTCCCCTACATAAACTACTGCATAGGATTGTAAGTATTGAAAGCAGCAGGAAAAACAAATATATCCTTTGGTTCTCCTCCAGCCAGTGCAGAGCTTAGTACTCTTCCCAGACCACCACTCTCTGATACATTTGGGGTCACCCAAGGGCTTAGATGCTTGTTTATTCCTGGGGACACAAACTGGGGGAAAAGGGGCTGTTAAACAAACTGGAATCTTCTGAGTTCTCAGGCTGTAAAGCTCCCTACAGCCAACAATGGCTTCTAAGGTAGAACGAAGGGAAGCCTCTACAGTGCAAACAGCTCAGAAGCAGAGGACTGACCCTTCTATAAGAGACCTTGATCTGAGCAGTACTGGGGATCAGGCCGTGGTGAATGCTTGGCTACTGAGTCATACACATATCCCCAAGTTCATGATATCCCTTTATTTCCATAGAAAAGTTATCTCTTTCCTCTGCAGACAATAAGACAATTAATAATATAATAACGATAATAATGAGACTATATGGCTTGGAATGAAGTAGAAAATTAGGACTAGAATATAAACATTTTAGTCCAAGGGTAATTATTTGAAGCCCTATAGTTTGAAGCAGGTACTTTGATTCTTTTTTTAAGCCAATTATGGGGATAATGTTCCAAATAAATATTCCACATGCACCCAAACTTTTCCCTTACCTCGTTTCATGGCTCTGGGGCTGCCGGGCCCACTGCGGCTGCGCGAGTCTGATTCTGATGTCCGTGAGCTGGACCTGGAGCTGTCCTCTTCCTCGGAGCCAGAGGACTCATCCAGGAAAGGGCTGCTGCTTATTTGGGTTGCCTTCTAAAGAAAAGCAGTATAGCCTTCCTCTATCTATCCCTAAATTTACCTCTCTCTCTTTAGACATGAAATGGTTTACAGAAAGTTAAGTCATGGAATAAAATTTTTAAAAAGAAATACAAGAATATATTATGCCTATGAAAGTCATGTTGTCAAACCTCAGATTCTAATTAGTGAGGAATTTGTCAATTAGGAAAGATTCCTGAACACATAAGGTTGTCAGTATTTGCCAGTCCTCATTTTAATTAACATCTGGCAAGGAAGGGAACCCTGGCATTGATACAAAGATTTTTGTAAATTAGAAGTCCCCATTACATTAATAGTATGTTGCCTTTAAACAAGTAACAGCCTGGGGCAGAGGTGAGGAGAAACCACATGAAAATAGATGCAGATCTCTACAGCTTTGAGAAGAATAATTATCTTTTCCAGACCATTCCAATTCTTTTTTTTTATGATATATTAATGTGAACTTCTAAAACTCTCTACAAAGGGAGAGTGTGCAAAATGTTAAGAATGGAATCTGGAGCTTTGAAAAAAGTTGTTTTTTTTTTTCAGGAAGCAAGCCACATGTTTAAAGAAACACTGCTGAGTTACCCCCTTCAACGTTGTATAGACCGGAGTGGTCAGATTCTTGTATATCAGAGATGTATAAAGTCCTGATGTGGTGCAGGAAAGCATGGTAGCAGCATCTGAAACAGAAAGACATTCTAAAAAGCCAAACAACGATCTTTCTAACTAGCATATTGGCCTATTTCCGATGACTATGAATTATCATTGTTTCTAATTAAAGGGAAATTGTGTGAACATTCCATCTGCTTTCTGGCATTTATAGGTTGATATACATACTTTTTTTATACAGCTCATTATTTCTTCAAATTCTTTCCTTATAACATTTCCAAACTAAGCTGCAACTCTCAGCAAGAATCACAGCTTTTATTTCTTTAGTACCTTCATGCACATTTACCTCAGGCTATGCAGATTCAGTAATTCATTGAGATTGATTAACACCTGTTGGAATGTTCTTTGACCTAAAGTCCTGTTACATGTTTTTTATTTTTCTTTGTGCTAGTACTGGGGCTTGAACTCCGCGCCCTCGTACTCTTACTTGGCTTTTTCACTCAAGGCTGGTGCTCTACCACTTGAGCCACACTTCCGGTCCACCATCTTAATCATTTTCAAGGATACAATTCATTGCTAGTAATTACAATGCTGTAAAATAGATGTCTGGACTTTTTTATCCTGTAAATGTCCCTTTCTCCTCTCTCCTCAGCCCCAGTAATTAGCATTCTATATTCTGTTTCTATGAATTATTTGGCTACTTTATTTACGTGGAATAATAAGTTACTTGTCTTCTATAGTATATTACCCTATCATGGGCATTATGTTGTCACTTAGCGGAACTTCCTCAACTATGGTGCAGCATGCAAAAGCACTTACTTTTATTAGTGTTTTCCATAGTGAAGGCCTCAGACATTCGAATTCCTGATTTGGCTACAGCATAAATTCTGCTTTCCTAATTAATGTAAAAAAGAGATTTTTAAAGGAAAGTTAAAGAAAAAAACTCAAAAGATTACTTTCAGTACATGTTTTTTCCATTTGTGTTTCACTTAGCAGTCACTAGAGTACAACATTATTATTAAATGCATCAAGGCCAGTAAAACACCATAGTGAATAATATTATAGAGATTCCCTCTCCCTCATTTATCAGTCATTTAAGATTCTTTTGACGATGTAGAAAACCAGTAAGTGGAAGCTTAATATTCTTCCATTTTACACTGTGGTTTACGGGGGGAAAGGAAGATATACCTTTAATGGCTATAACAGTAACCTAGAAACCATTCACAGTTACTAATCATATATATATACATATATATATATCATCCTTAATATTTTGGAACATGATTAAAGAAAAAGAAAGATCTTGAAGTCATAAATCACACAGCATACTCTATCTGGCATTCAATGCTATCACTTTTGTATTTCAATTATATTTCAAAACAACAGAAAAATACCTGAGGTCAAATGATAAATGATTTTGAAAATTATAATAGATGTATAATATCATATGATCCTAAAAGTTATTTAATATTCCCTTCTTCTCTGACAATGATCTCTGAAATGGGTATTAGCTCTGTCCATGAGAAAAGGGACTCTAAATGGTTTCCAATACACAGCATAGATCACCATATGTACCTTCTGTAATGGGTCTAACCTAGACCAAGCAGGCTGAATTAGGACACAGTAGGCAACCAACACCATCATCTTTTCAAAATGGTCAGGTGCCAGAGAAGAAACTGAAATAAACTGCTGATGACTGGTAGCCTTTTTGAGTGAGGAGTGGCTGAATGAATCATATGTACCTTCCCTGTGCAGGTGATTGTGAGACACATACAAAGAGACTAAGAAGCAAAGTGGTTAGATCAGAAGAGGGCAGTAAACAGATAGGAGGCAGAGGCCATGACTGTGTTGGTCTGGAGAGTAGGTAGTAGTAAGAGATGTCATAAGAACCAATGGAGGGGGGCTGGGAAGGTGGCTCAGTGGTAGAGCGCTTGCTTTGTATGCAGGCCCTGGGTTCGATTCCTCAGCACCACATAAGCAGAAAAAAAAAGCCAGAAGTGGCACTGTGGCTCAAGTGGTAGAGTACTAGGCTTGAGCTGAAGAGCTGAGGGACAGCCCCCAGGCCCAGAGTTCAGGCCCCACAACCGGACCCAAAACAAAACAAAACAAAAAAAGAACCAGTGGAGTATGAGGATGACCTGAGACTCTGGTGTACTATCAGAGGTATTGCTGAAACATGAATCATATGTTTTCCCTAGAGAGCGACTGCTATATTTTGAAGGCTATCCCAATTTATTAAGGAGAGGCTATGCTCTACAGTAACTTCTTAACTCAGAAAAATGAGACATGTTCTTTCTTTGAAACTTGTAAATATATAAGAAACACAGAGATGGGGCTGGGAAGGTGGCTCAGTGGTAGAGCACTTGCCTTGCATGCCTGGGGCCCTGGATTCGATTCCTCAGCACCACATAAGCAAAAAGAAAAAAGCCAGAAGTGGTGCTGTGGCTCAAGTGGTAGAGCACTAGCCTTGAGCTGAAAAGTTGAGGGACAGTGCCCAGGCCAGAGTTCAGGCCCCCCAACCGGACCCCCCCCCCAGAAAAAGAAACACAGAGATAAATTTCCTACTTGGATAGCCAGCTTTTGAAAAGCAACACTACTGAATAGTTTCAGAAGAAGAGAAGTGAGAAAGGCAAAAAAACAAAAACAGTACAATGGTTTGCCAAGTGAAACAAACTTGAAAGCCTAACCTAAATCTCTGAAAATCTGAACATAATAAAAAAGGCAAAATCTGAACTTCTCACTGCCTAAAGAGTAACATGGTTAGAATTACAGAGAATCACATGCCATTAATTTCCACATTTTTTGGGGGAGGGGGTCCGGTCATGGGGTCTGAACTCTGGACCTGGGCGCTGTCCCTCAACTCTTCAGCTCAAGGCTACCACTCTACCACTTGAGCCACAGCACCACTTCTGGCTTTTTTCTTTTTGCTTATGTGGTGCTGAGGAATCAAACCCAGGACCTCATGCATGCAAGGCAAGCGCTCTACCACTGAGCCACTTTCCCAGCCCAATTTCCACATTTTTGTACCATCCAGAATTTCATGATAAACTGTAGATTTCATATGAACACTGAAATAGTCTCTTGAAAACAAACAATAGCAGTTATATCTCAAAGTCTGCCTTTATACTAGGAAAATATAGCTAGTCCTAGTTTATTTAAAATTAGGGCAATTACTAAATTAAAAAGTGTTAGTAGAAGAACATGAATCCAAAAAAATTTAAAATCCTGCTAATCAGATGTTTCTCTAAAGGCCTAAAGTTAAGTCATGCCAAAATGTGAAGGAAACCTTAAATCCACAAGACAGACCAATTCACTTTGTTTATAATACAGTTAAGAAGGGAGACAGGACAAGGCAATGGATTTAAAGTATTTACCATTTTCACTCTGAGAATGAGAAGAATCTGATGACACAGAAGTAACTAGATGCTGAAGAAGGAAAGAGTAGAAAAAAAAAGGTGAAACCACAAGTTTTTCAGGATCCAGGAAACTGTAGAGAAGCAATCACATAAAAATTAAAGTAGCAAAGAGTTTGGAGCCAGTACCCAGCTATCCCTGCTGGAAGCAGAAGAACCAAAGACAGCACTACCAGGTACAATCAGATGGTTCTGCCAAGGGATTGCCAAATTTAGCTGCAGGAAAGGCATACAATCTGTAAGCCTTATTGCCAGCACCAGCCAAAGGGGTGGCAGTAATTAATCCACTGCAAAAGGCTGCAATGGAAGAACTAAGACATTCTATCTTCCTCATATTCTAGAGAGCAACAAAGGATTTCCATCTTGGAAACTTTTCTCTGGATGCTGCCATAGCAGTTTAACAACCCACAGGACACTTTGGAATAGAATTTGTATATAAAGCCAGGTAATGGTGGCTCACACCTGTAATCCTAGCTACTCATGAGGCTGAGAGCTGATGATCACAGTTCAAAGCCAACCCAGGCATGAACATCCATGAGACTCTTACCTCCAGTTAACCACCAGAAAACCAGAAGTGGCACTGTGCCTCAAAGTGGTAGAGTGCTAGCCTTGAAAAAAAGAATCTCAGGATGGAACCCAGGCCCTGAGTTCATGCCCCAGGACCAGCACCCAAAAAAAAAAAACACTTGTATATATAAATCAGTTATAAGAGGCAAGAGAAGGGAGGGAGTGTCCAAGAGGGACCGGCACAAAAATGTTAGCTTCAGGAAGCTATGCTGCAGCTTAGAAGCCAGATGCTGCAGAAGTCCAGCAGGTGGCAGTACCAGGGAAAAGACCTGTGGGTTCCTGTTGAAGCAGATAACAGAGGTACCTGAGATGCAGCTATAGTTCGCACCATAGAAGAGCTGCAGCCTCCCAGGAAGCCAGTCCATGCCTAGGACTTGCTGTCAAAAGCTAGAGTAGCTCAGGAAATATCCAGCACAGGTCACCATTAGAGGCAACTGTGCAGACACCTAGCAACAAAGCAGCTTTAGAACTCCCTGCTGTAACATATTGGGGGGCAGGGATAGCCATCAGCAAGGAATCTGAAGGCCTTTCCCCCCCTCCCCATGTAAAATCCTCTGAGAAGTCCTCACACACAGACATTAAGCAGTCCCTTAAATCTTGTAGAGAAGTCTATATAGAGAGACATATTTATCACAATGTATTGTACATAAATTAGTTTGCCTTTGTTCTTACTTTGGTTTGTTTGAGTGTTATAGTTGTTTAACTGTATGCTTTTTCTTCTCTGTAAATTGAAATAAAAATCATTTGCCTTTAACTTCTACATTCTAGCAAAAACTTAATTCTACATTTAATTTTACATTTGTTTCTCCCTTTCTTTTCTCTGAATCCCAATACCAGCCTTTTAGTGCTCTTTTTCAAATCACAACATCACCCCTCTTCCTATATTTCCTTTCCATTTATACCTTCCTTTTATCTACAATTGGAACACTGCTCTTACTCATACTCTCTTCTACAGTTGCTCTTCCATTGCTAATTATTTCTCACTACCTAAACTCGTATCTTGTAACCAGATTTCTTGAACACCATTTGTTTGCTTTTTGGTTTTAGTTTTGTCTGTTTTTCTCTCGTTTTTCTCTCTCTTTTCTCCTTCTTAATAACTGGTGGTGTCTTTTTGTTTTATATACACACAGAAGAACAAACCAAATCCCCAAATAGCAGATTAAAATAGTGAATATTATAACAGAAATTAATGAACTAGAGACTAAACAAACTATACAAATAAACCATGAAACAAAAAAGGTTCTGGGCTGGGAAGGTGGCTCAGTGGTAGAGTGCTTGCCTTGCATGCATGAGGCCCCGGGTTTGATTCCTCAGCAGCACATAAGCAGGAAAAAAACAAAGCCGGAAGTGGCGCTATGGCTCAAGTGGTAGAGTGCTAGCCTTGGCCTGAAGAGCTGAGGGACAGAGCTCAGGCCCAGAGTTCAGGCCCCACGACCGGACTCCCCCCCCCCAAAAAAAGTTCTTTAAATAAGTAAATAAGATTGATAAACCTGTAGCTAATTTAATCAAAAGACTGGATTCAAATCAATAAAACTAGACTTGAAAAAGTGATTTTCACAACAAATGCTAAAGAAATTCAAAGGATCTTGAGGGAATACTGAAAACCTATACACAAATAAGTTGGAAATCAATAAGAAATGGATACACTTTTACATACAAGTTTACATACAAGTTCAATGAAATTGAACCAACAGTATTTATAAACTATTTCAATAGAGCTATAACAACCAATGAGACTGATGCATTAATTAAAAAAAAAATCTTCCAACAAAGTTAAGTCCATGGTAGATGGATTCATGGAAGAATTCTCCCAGACTGTCAAAGAAGAACTAAGTCCTCCATGAAATAGAAAAGGGAAGACCTATACAAATCATTCTATAAAGCAAGTATTACACTCATTCTAAAACCAGGCAGATATTAAAAGAGGGAGAGACAGAGAACTATAGACCAATCTCAGTGAACACTGATGCAAAAATTCTCAATAAAATCTTTGCAAACCAAATTCAACAACATATCAAAAATCATATAATGTGATCAAACTGGCTTTACCCCAGGGATGCAAAGACAGTTCAACATACATATATCAATAAATACATGAACAGGACCAAAAATAAAAATCACCTAATCTCAATGCAGAATAAAAAGCCTCTGACAAAATTCAACATTATTTATGGTAAAAGCTCTGAAGAAACTAGGAGTAGAAGGGACATATCTAGCCAGGCACTGGTGGCTCACACCTGTAATCCTAGCAAGGCTTAGATCTGAGGATCGCGGTTCAAAGCTAGCCCAGGCAGGAAAGTCTGTGACACTCTTATCTCCAATTAACCACCAGAAAACCGGAAGTGGTGCTGTGGCTCAAATGGTAGAACAGCTCAGAGACAGTGCCCAGGCCCAGAGATCAAGCCCCATGACTGACTAAAAAAAGCGGGGTGGAGGGTGGGTGGGTGGGGGAACATATCTAAACTTAATAAAGACAATATATGACAAACCTATAGCCAACATTAACTGGAGAAAAGCTGGAATCATTTTCCCTAAAGTCAGGAGTGAGACAAAGATGTCTACTCTCCCTACTCTTATTCAGTATGGTACTAGAATTTCTAGCTAACACAATAAAGAAGGAGACATAAATTCAAATAGGGAAGGAAGATGTCCTATTTGCCGCTGGTATAATCCTATACTTACAAGTCCCTAAAAAACTATCTTTGGAAAGGTATCAGAATATAAAAACAATTCTCAAAAACCAGTAGCTTTTCTATATACTAAGTGAGCAAGCATGCAGAGTCATTCAATTTCCTCTTGTCTTTCTCTTGAAAACTTGTTCCCCTAGGAAACGAGATGTTCTGTTTCTTCAGATGTTTGTTTTAGTGGAACACCAGCTCATAGGAGGAAGCCTAGAATGGTCTAGCACACCTTGGACAGTGGGGTAACTCAGTCTAGTTAAAGTCCAGAAATGGAAAGCTCATTTCCCCACCAATTTATCATAAAAAATGGCAATAGTCCCCCAACAACAAACCCTCAAAGAAACAACTGCCCGATTAATAAGTGGGCTAATGACTTAAAGAGACTTCTCTGAAGAGCAAATAAGAATGACCAATAGACACATAAAGAAATGCTCAACTTCTCTAGCCATAAAAGAAATTCAAATCAAAACACATTGAGATTCCACCTCACCCGAGTTAGAATAGCAACAGATGCTGGAGGTGATGTGACCAAAAGGGAACCCTACTGCATTGTTGGTGAGAGTGTAAACTTATTCAACCACTTTGGAAAGCAGTATGGAGGTTCCTCAAAAGACTACACAGAGAGCTCCCCTATGACCCAGCAATCTCACTTTTGTGCATTTACCCAAACAATCACAAACAAGACCATACTAAAGCTACCAGCACAACTATGTTTATTGCAGCATTCACCATAGCTAAGATATGAAACCAACCCAGATGCCCCTCAGTAGATGAATGGATCAAGAAAACGTGAGATACACACACACACACACACACACACACACACACACACACACACACACACACAGGAATTCTATGCCATCAGAAAGAATGAAACCACCCCATTTGTTAGGACAGAAAGATTTGGAAAAAACTATATTAAGTGGAGTAAGCCAGACCCAAAGAAATATAGGTCCCATGGTTTGCCTTATTTGCAATAACTAGTATACATCTTGGACAATCTTACCAGACATGCAGAAAAGGTCATATATAAGATGATGCTATACAAAGTGAACCTCAAGATAGGGACACAAGAGGTTTTTATCTTTGTTGCTGTTGTTTTAATGTATTTATAGTGTACTATGTGATTTTTTTGTTTCTTTTCTTTGTTCCTCCCCCATGGTATAACCCCTGTTTTCACTGTATTTAATTCCTGTGTCCTGCAGCTTGTATATACATTTTTCTAATATGTGGAGGGGTAATGAAATAACAAAATGCAGAAATAAGGGTATCGGTTGACTCATTGTAACAACTCAATTTACAAGACATGTTGAAAACCAACTTTACAACTTGGGAGAGGGTGAGAGTATGGAAGGGAGGAGTTGAGGAGGTGGAGAGGGAATGATGGTAGGCAAAAACAAAGGAGGAGGTAACAATGCCCGATAGGAAATGGACTCATTACCTTACTCATGTAACTGTAACCCCTACGTACAGTTCTTTACAATAAAAAATGTTAAAAAAAAAAAAGAAGGTCTGGGAAGGTGGCTCAGTGGTAGAGTGCTTGTCTCACACGCATGAGGCTCTGGGTTTAATACCTCAGCACCACATAAGCAGAAAAAGCCAGAAGTGGCGCTGTGACTCAAGTGGTAGAACACTAGCCTTGAGCTAAAGAGCTGAGAGACAGTGCCCAGGCCCAGAGTTCAGGCCGCACAACTGGCAGAAAAATAAAAGAAAATAATATTAAAAAAGAAAATAGACCTCCAAAAAATGGCAATAGATCTCCCATGTGTTGTATGTCTCAAGACAGAACTGGATGGGAAAAGAGAGAGAAATTGAATTCTAACCTGGAAATTTCCAGAATCAAGTTGGATTTTAAAAGAAATAGGAGAAAAAGTAAAAGCTGAAAAGCACTGAGAAAAGAAACCACAGTGTATGTTTTATACAGAGGAATATATAATTACCCAAGAGGGAAACCGGTGCAGGGGAGGAGTGGGAGGTTTGTTGCATGCGGCCTTCTTTGCCAAGTCGCTGACTTCCTGGTGGTCTAAATATGGAGATTCTGGAGAGTCCTGAGTAAATAATCCATCATCACAGCTTGTATCCATATTCTCTACATGCTCTGCACTGTCGCCATCAACTAGATCAAGATCGGTTTCCTGAGGTCTCAGTGGTCGTATCATGCTTATGGCATTTCTGTTTGTACCAAACATCCTGTCAGAACTTAACTGTGGCTGGCTTAAGTGCCTTTTGGTGAGTGCTACACTTATACTGAAAACATTAGGAATCCTTAACTTAGGGGACAGCAGGTGTGATGAAGGTGCTACTTGTGCTCCTTTTCCTGGGAGTGAGTTAGCATACTTTGGAGTTAAAGCTGGGGTCAAAATAGGACTGGGAGTGTTGGCCTCACTTGATGAGGATGAATAATCCAGTCTTTGGGATTGAAACTTTTTATTCAGTTCATCTGAGGAACTATCTTGCTCCTTCTTACTTGTTTCAGAATTTCCCTTTTCAAGAAGTCTATTCTGAGCCTTCCACTGTGCCTCCTGTTGCCAAGAATAAAGCTTCTTGTGTTCTGGTCTCTTTATGCCAAAAGTCTCTTCTTCAAATATAGAACTACTGTCATCAGATGCTGTCAAATATGCTTCACTTCCCACCCGGCCACATTGGGCACCTTCCTCCGACGTGTGACTGGAAAGGGTGGACGCAGGTCTGGACTTGGATCTTCCTTTGCTCCCATCTTCCTCCTCAGAACTCCAGTCACTCGCTGGAGCACCAGAATTCTGGGACAGACTACCATCTGTCGCAAAGCTTGCTCTTGATTTCCGGTTCTGCTCTAAGCTGCAAGGGGTTTCATGCAATGTTCTTTGGTTTCTGTTGATTTCTTGGACTTGATTATCAGCTGATTTCTCTACAATGTCTGCTTCTAGAAAATATACCAGCACAGTATTTTTTAATAAATCTTTGCTATACATTAGCTTTATGTAACTACACTGTGGGAACTAGAAATTTCATATAAGGTTAATTTATATTATCCCTCATCTTATGACTTAAAGAAGTTTTAAAAAATTTAAGTAAAACTATGAGCTTTATACAAAACACAAAGCTTTAATAGTTCAATGTAATTGTATCAAAACTGAAAGGCTTTTTACAAACAAATACATTGATATAACAAGAGTCTAAAAACATAAGGAAAGAAACAAAATGTAAAGTAGGTAATTTGACCATGAGAAGCAGGCACTGCTTTCTGCAGTACTATGGAAGTGCTCTACCATTTGAGCCACACCCCTAGTCATTTTACTTGTAGTTTGTTTTTCACATAGAGCCACAGAATAAATAGCTTTCCCCAGGCTGCTCTCAAACTGTGATCCTCATATCTCACTTCCCTGGGAGTATCTAGGACTACAGGATGTACAATGATTCCTGGTTCCTTAATTCCTTTTTCCATTAAATTTCTAATTTATCATAAAATAAACATAAATATAATAAACACAAAGCTTTAATTTAAGAAACAAACATGTGTCCAAGCTTTAACATATGAAATAAGTAAATTATGAAGAAAATATAAATAAAAATGCTTCTTTGGCTCTATTTTTTGTTTAATCACAATTACAAGATTTTTTTATTATAAGAATAATACTTTTTTTGTGTGTGTATACAGTCCAGGGACTTGAACTTAGGATCTGGGCACTGAGCTTTTGTGTTCAAAGCTAGCACTCTACCACTTGAGACATAGCTCTGTTTCTGGGTTTTTGGTGGTTAATTGGAGATAAGATGGACTTTCCTTTCTGGACCAGCTTTGAACTGTGAACTGTGAACCTCAGATTTCAGCCTCCTAAATAGATAGGATTATAAGCATGAGCCATGGATGCCTGGCTAGAACAATACTCACTTAAATGCCTTTACATATGGCTTATTTATATTAATGGAATAAGTAACAGAATACACAATCATCTTAATAAACAGTGAATTAAAACTGTAGACTAAAGCTAGGTGTGGTGGAGCATGTTTGTAATCCCAGCACTAGGGAGACTCAGGCAGGTGGACTGAGTTCAAGGTCAGCATAGAATACATGGTGAGACCCTATCTCATAAAAGAAACAAAAGATTAAGATTATAGAACAGAAAAGGAACTCTGAAAACATAAATATGCCTCAGAGTTAAGCAACCAGAGGCTAAACAAAATCACTTGAAAGTTTCCTATCAGGTGGTTTGTTGAACTTGTGAGTGAGCTAAAGCTGCAATGCCAGCCACTGTAACCCTATCTGAGATAGAATGAGCATCTTGAAAAAGAAAAAAAAATAGCAAGTAATGGCAAGAAGCAAGTAACACAGCCACCTTCTAATGGAAAAATCATTATATAGTCTTCAGGACAGCATAACTAAGCTACAAACAGCTGTCAGAACTATAATTTTTCTCCTGTGGATGAAGAAAACTTTCAAGACTTTAAAATATTTGGGAAAAGTCAACAAGAGAGGAGCTTGCACAAGGACAAGAGCAGCCCACAGCCATACAACACAGAGGTTTAACAGCTAGCAGATGTACAACATAGTAGTAACAGCTGTCAGTGGCTGCACGAGAGCACTGAATTCAGAGTCTATGAATCAGGAAAGGAATAAAAATCTGCACAAACAAGCCAGGAACCAGTAGCTCAAGCTTGTAATCCTAGCTACTCAGGAGGCTGAGATCTGAGGATTGTAGTTCAGGATCAACCAAGGCAGAAAAGTCTGTGAGATTCTTACTCAGAAAAAGATGGAAGTGGTACTGTGCCTCAAGTAGTAGAACATTATCCTTGATCACAAAGAGGCTTAGGGACAGCAGCCAGGCTTTGAGTTCAAACCCCTAGACTTGCAAAAAAAAATCTGCACAAAGGACAGGAGTCTAAACAACTAAGCAAATATTTTCCACTTAGAAGCAACAAACGGAAAAATCAAAGCAGTTACTAAACTGTGCCCTAAGGTTCATTTCTTTATAAGTTTGCTAGACCAGAATTAATTTCACATTTAATATATGAAATTAATTTTAATATTCTCCATGAATAATGAATAAAACATAGTTATAATCTGAATCTCAGTTACAATAAGTAGCTTGTAATATCACTTCTATCTGCTGTGGAAAAATTACTAAGACAAAGTCAGGCACTGGTGACTGATGCCAGTAGTCCTAGCTGTTCAGGAGGTTGAGACCGGAGGATCATAGTTCAAATCCAGATGCAGCAAGAAAGTCTGTGAGATCCTATCTCTAAAGCCTCAAAAGCCAGAAGTGGAACTGTGGCTCAATAGTGGAGCACTAGCTTTGAGCAAAAAAGGTCAGCAACATCAACCAGGTCCTGAGTTTAAGTCCAAAGACTGGCATCAAAAAAAAAGTACTAAGCCAGAAAAATCAGTTTCTCTGTACTTACTACTTTACTTATGTAACTGTAACCTCTCTGTACATGACCTTAACAATAAAAAAAAGAAAGAAAAAAGTTTATTCTGTGTAACACTGGCAAAACCCCCAAGAAGGCACAAAAGAGTGAGATCTACAAAGTTCAGTGTGGTGTCAGTATAGAAATTCTCCCATTAAACTTCAAGTTGTCAGTAAACATTGGAGAATTGAGATATATGTAGATTAATTAATTAATCATAGCAAATGATTTGTCCTTTTAAAAACATACCAGTAAGAGCTGGGAAGAGTGCTTGCCTTGCACGCATGAGGCCCTGGGTTTGATTCCTCAGCACCACATAAGCAGAAAAAGCCGGAAGTGGCGCTGTGGCTCAAGTGGTAGAGCCCTAGCCTTGAGCTGAAGAGCTGAGGGACAGTGTCCAGGCCGAGTTTAGGCCTCATGACTGACAAAAAAACAAACAAAAAAAAAAACCATACCAGCAAATGCTGGAGGTAGAGAGTATCTAGCAAGTGGAGGGCCTGAGTTCAAATCCCAACACTATAAAAAGAAAACAAAACAAAACAAAAGGGTAAAAATGCTATAATCCATAAATACCTGCTGTGTCCTTTCCTTCCAGAAACTCAGGCTCTTTAGATGATATTTTGCCCATTTCCTCAGCTTTTACTGCTTGAGGAGGACTCTTTGCTCGGGAAGAAAAGCACCCAAATGTCAAACTGCTCAGGCGTTGTCCTTCTGAAGACTTAGTTGTAGTGACAGTGGACGACTTCTTCCCTTGAACTTCTGCAAGGTCATTAATCAAAATTCAGGTCTGAATTATTACAACAGTTTGTTAAACACAGAGACAATGCACATAAAAATGCAGAAATCATTCTTTATACCAGGAAAAGGCCTGAAGTTCATCTTTATTGATATATACTAACACAGGAGCCTGAAGGTTGATCATCTCAAATATATTTTTAAAATACATCTGTAGGAAGTAGAGGTGTGGCTCAAGTGGTAAAGTATCAACTTTGAGAGAAAAAAACCTAAGAGAGAGCATAGGCCCTGAGTTCGAGCCCAATATACCAGAATACCCACACATACACACCCTACAAGTCTATTTTATATATTTAAATGTTCAAAATATTTTAACTGCAGTTATTTTAACTGGAGAGAGAAAAATACTTAATATAGTTAAAATACTTAATAAATACTTTGAAAGCAGTAAGTCCTCAAAACCAAAATATAAATAAGAGGTAGAATTTAAAAGTTAATATTGGAAAGCAATGTGATATTATCCAAAAACATGAAATGGTAACCCCTCTGTACAGCACCTTAATAATAATAAAATTATATTTTAAAAGGGTTAATATTAGTATAGGTACAGATTATTTCCTTCATCACAGAAACTTCCAGATAAAAAGTATTTATCCACAGTTCAAAGACTAAAGATGTGGTCTAAAAATACTACCTAACAATAACTGTACATCATGGAAAGTGATCTGAAAGCTTGTAAAATATCCTTCTGAATTATTTCAAGAGTAGCAAATATTCCTTTGGATTTAATATTTGCAAGCAGTCAAAAGTTATAAAGAAATCTGTTAATAAACATAAATGTCGTGTGTGTGTGTGTGTGTGTGTGTGTGTGTGTGTGTGTGTGTGTATTGCTGGGATCAAACTTGAGTTTCCTGCATAACAGGAAAACATTCTACCACTGAGCTACAACCTTGGCCATAAATACCATTTTACTTAGTTTTTTTTTTTTCAAACTTGGGGTTTGAACTCAGAGTTCCATGCTTATTAGGCAAGCATTCTAACATTTGCTTTTGCTTTATTTATTTATTTATTTATTTTCCAGGTATTATTTTCACCCAAGCTCAGTGTAAGATGTTGATTCTCCTACCTATCTATACCTCCCAGTATCTAAGATGACACAGGTTCCTACCATCATGCCCAGGTTACTGGTTGAGATATAGTCTTGCTAACTATTTGTCTAGGCTGACCTCCAAGCTTAAATCTCTGTCTACTAAGAGGTTGGAATTACGGATTTGAGCCAATGTACCCACCTAAATGTGTTTTTTAATAGGCTAATGTTACTACTGATATTATGGAGTTATCATCAGATGGCCAGGATGAAAATCCTCATTCAGAAGACTTAAATAGAGAATGGTTTAGCATCCCGGTGATCCATGAGTATGCTAAGCTATAACATTTGCATCCAGCTAACTACCAGCTCAGTCATGTAAGAATCCATAGAAGTATCCTGTAACTCCCCCTTCAAAGAAAGCCAAGTCCAGAGACACATTCAAAAGATGTGAAGCCAGGGATCCCTTATGAAAGTGTTCAATGCAGCTACCATTGCAATGACTACATTGAATGCAGCCACTGAATATGTGACTCCCTGATTCCTACTATAAAAGTTAATTCTCTTTCTAAGGCCAAATTCATATCTTCTTGGGCTTTTGAAGTATCTATTATTAATATAAATACTTCCACTATTTGGTTTCATAAGTTTCTCTGAATTTTTTCAAGGAAACAGGGATATGTAGCACTACCTTGCTTAAAAAGACCAAAATGGCCAGGTGCCAGTGGCTCATGCCTATAATCCTAGCTACTCAGGATCATGGTTCCAAGCCAGCCCAGGCAGGAAAGTCTGTGACACTCTTATCTCCAATAAATCACAGCTGGAAGTGGCACTGTGGCTCAAGTAGTACCATGTTAAGCCTTGAACAAAAGAAGCTCAGGGACAGTACCCAGGCCCAGAGTTTAAGCCCCAAGACAAACAAAACAAAAAGACCAAAATGTCATCATTGTCAAGAGATTGGTACATAAGGGTATCAATAAGCTATGGTTTATAATCCTTGGACTCCTGGGCTAAATCAACACATAATACTTTTAAGTCAATACATAATAATTTTAGCAAGCTGAACTCTCTGGGACTCAGTATAGTCCTAAAAAGAGGATAAATGTAATCTGTTAGAGTAGACAGAGGCAAAATTAATACCTAGCTTTGCTTTTCTGACCTGTGTATCAGCCACATTGATAAACCTGTACATCATCAGTCCAATTCTTTGTGCCTTCCCCTCTCATTCACTTAGGTCTGGGTCTTCCAGTTTGCTTATAAATTCTCTTTTGTTTGATGATGATGTCTTCTTATATGACATTCATATTTAGGTCTTTAAAACACCAGCGAAGTCTAAATAATAGAAGACTAAATAATAAAACTTTTTATATAGCCAAATAATCCAACTAAGCCACCTTAGCAAAACTATTTGTACCTTGTAATCTTGACTGTATTAATTTTATCTCTTCAGTTTGGTTTTGGTTGATCAAACGAAGATTCTGATTCTCTAATTCTAGCTGAAAAAAAATAGTGATATTCTCTTATATAACCACATTTTAAAATGGACTATTAAATTATAAGTTTTAGAAAATGTTAATATGTAAATAGTTTCCATGCCAGTAAGTTTAAAAAAATGACAAGAATTAATTTATCAGCATAATTATGTTACCAATATTTACCGAAACTAAGAGTTTTAAGTGTTTGCACTCCCCTATTCTTTTTGCATTATAAAACTGTTTTAACCAAATTATAGAGCATTTAAATCTGTGCTTCTCAGACACTAAACACATTAATTTTATGATATATACATGTAAGCACTATAATTATTTAAGATAAATTAATTCAAACTGAAGCCAACTAGAATGAAGCTGTTACTCTGATCATCATGAGCCTATTGCTATTTTTAATTTCAGAAATACAATGGGTTTTGAACAAAACACAGTAACACCAATCAGAATTTTTTTCACTCAGTACGATCACATATTCTGATTATTTTATTCAAAAGCAGAAAATGGTAAAGGAAAAAAAAACAATAATAAATACCTCATTTAACTTAACGGTTACCCACTCTTTGATCTTAGCTGCTTTCTCTTCTATTATTTTAGCTTCTTGTGTTCGTATTTGTTTCTGAAATAACGCAACAGTTTGTTTAGTTCAAACATAATCATGGTGGTCTGGAAACGTTACATTAAAAAAAAATTCAAAATCCAGTGAAAACAGGGGTTATACCGTGAGAGAAGAACATACAAAAGAAGCAAAAGAATCACATAGTGCATTGTAAGTACATTAAAAACACTAGCAAGAAAGAAAAAAACCACTTGTGTCCCTGTCTTGGGGTACATTTTGCTTAACATTACTCATGTAACTGTAACCCCTCTGTACAACATTTTTTTTACTATATATATATATAGGCCAAACTGGGCCTCAAACTGGTTTTGAGATTTTTTTTTTCTTAACAAAACTGATGGGGCAGAGGGTGGAATGGCAAAAGATGGAGAGAGGAAGGTAAGAAGAGAGGTTGGGAGAGGAGGAGGAAGTACACACTATTAATTTTAACAACTGTCCTCTTATAGATCATGTGCTGAAATCAGCCCATTAAATATGCTTAAAAAATAATTTCTGGAATAGTAGAATCAGGTCAATCAGGTTGGGGAAAGAAACCTAACTATAATGTGCTCAGGAGTATGGCCGTTTTCTTCCTCAAACATTAGTTTTAAAAGCTTTAGGAAAAACAAACATTGAAATATTCTAACCTAGTATTTATAAATCTACTGAGAATGTGGCTATATTATCAGGGCAATGGTTTGGCTGAGGTGTTAGAAACTGAAAACCAGATAAGTTTGTTTTAAATGCTGAAGGTGAATAATAATATGATGTATTTCATCAAACATTTTTAGTGGTCAAATGTGAATACTGTCAAATGACTACTTAAGTTAAATAATTATAATGCATGTCTTGTAATAAACACTTTAAAATAGTGGGTGCAGGGGCTGGGAATGTGGCTCGGTGGTAGAATGCTTGCCTGTCATGCACAAGACCCTGGGTTTGATTCCTTGGCACCACATAAACAGAAAAAGCCAGAAATGGCACTGTGGCTCAAGTGGTAGAGTGCTAGCCTTGAGCAAAAGTAGCTCAGGGACAGTACCCAGGCCTAGAGTTCAAGCACCAGGACTGGCAAATAAATTAATTAATTAAATAAAACAGCGGGTATAGGTAGCTTGAGCAAAAGTAGCTCAGGGACAGTGCCCAGGCCTAGAGTTCAAGCACCAGGACTGGAAAATAAATTAATTAATTAAATAAAACAGCGGGTATAGGTAGCTCATGCCTGTAATCTTAGCCACTCAAGAAACTGAGATCTAAGGATCATGGTTTAAAGCCAGCCCTGGCAAACAAACCCAAGAGATTCTTTTCTCCAATTAATCCCCTAAAAGCCAGAAGTAAAGCTGTGGCTCAAGTGGTAGAGTACTAACCATAAGGAAAAAAAATGGTCAGCACCCAGGCCCTGAGTTCAAGCCTAGGACCAGCAGAAAAACAACAACAAAAAAAAAAACCCAACAATCCCCGGCCCCGTCAAACTAAATAATTTGTCTCAGTAAACTAGTTTAACCTACACATTTCTTAGTACAAAGATTAGCCTCAAGTATAAACTATTTTTTTTCTTTTTTCTTAGCATACATTAGCTATACAAGAATTAGCTATACAAGGGAGGATTTCATTGTGTCCTTTCTATGCATGCTTATAATCAAACATAAATATTTGTAACATTTCCATAAACATTTCTATAACACCTTAACAAGCTAAAATAAAGACTGGCTACAAACATTTGTTTTCCTTTTTTCTCTTTTTTATTTCAAGACAGCATCTCAGAATGTAGCCCATCCTTGCCTGTAATTTGCTATGTAACCAATGCTGGCCTCAAACTCATGATCCTCCTGTATCAGGATCCCTAGTGCAGAGATCACAGCATGAACCACCATATCCAAAGTGGTTGTAAACAGATATAAATACCTGCTGATAACTAAGTATTTCCAACTTCAATACTACAATTAAGCTGTAAAGTGAAGGAGAAGGAGCAAGATCACATTTAAAAAGTACCAAATGCAAGCCTTATACACAATGCAATTTTAGTTGTACCTTTTACCATGCTACAGTCTGACTAAATAAGGAAGATTTATCTTTCAGTAAGATTTATCTCTTTTTAACCTTTGTGATTTGTGACAAACGAGTAGACACATTTAGAAGTCTTTAATGATTATGTTTCCTAACCTGCTCTTCAAGTTGCAGTTCCAAGTTTTGAATGATGTCATCTTTTTCCTGGAGAAAAGACTCTAGATCTTGACACTTTTTATATAACTTCATCTCTGATTCACTGGTTTGAATATTCGCGGCATTTAATTTCTCTTCCATAACTTGTACCTGAATTCAGAAATAAAATATTAAAATCATGCCCAAACTTAATTTCTCATAGTATTAAACTTGGACTTTAACATTACATAGGTTCTTAGAAGCTATCATCAGAAAAGGACAATATTAATAAATGCAAGATTTAATGTATTTTTAAAATTATAAAGTTTGAAGATTTTTGTTAAAGGCATTACTCTGAAGTTCTTAAGGACATAAGAGGTTATCAGAATACTACTATCATATAAGGTAACAGTCATGTTTACTAAGCAAAGAGAAGTTGCAAAGTTTCTGTGTGGAAACAGAACATTTCTAGCCTCATTTCGTATATTTTAAACTATAAAGAAAGAAGATGCATGATGAGCTAAGACTCAAGTCAGATGACCTGTATAGCACACTGTGAGCAGGGGGAACTGAACATGGATGGGGAAAAAGCACAATGGAAAGTAAAAGTAAAATAAAATAATTTAAAGCCTTAATTAAGTAGTTGGGTGCTGGTGGCTCACGCCTGTAATCCTAGTTACTAAGCAGGCTGAGATCTGAGGATCACAATTCAAAGCAAGCCCGGGCAGGAAAGTCCATGAGACTCTTATCTCCAATAAACCACCAGAAAACTGGAAGTGGTGCTGTGGCTCAAGTGGTGGAGCACCAGCCTTAAGCTGAAGAGCTCAGGGACAGCACCCAGACCCAGAGTTCAAGCCCACCATAGACAATAAATAACTAAATAACTAAATAAATACAAGAGACTAAACACATATAGAAGAATGTGTTCCATGAGGGCTCATTGACTGGCTGAAAATGTTGGATGAATATTTGACAAATGTCAAGCGTATTCCAGGCCCTGAGAAAGCATCAGTGAACAAAATAACCACTATGCACAGAAATTACATTCTAGTGGAAAGAAAGTGGAAAGATCAAAAATATAATAAAAAGCTGGGTGCCAGTGGCTCATGTTTGTAATTCTAGCTACTCAGGAGGCTGAGAAACTGATGATTGTGGTTCAAAGCCGGTCCAGGCAGGAAAGTCTATGAACTCATCTCCAATTAACCACCAGAAAACTAGAAGAAGAGCTGTGGCTCAAAGTAGTAGAGCACTAGCCTTGAGCAAAAAAGCTCAGGGACAGGCTGTAAGTTCAAGTCCCATGATGACTGGGGTGGGAGGAGGGGGGAGAGATAAATAAAGATAAAATACATACATCATATATAATATATATACATAATGTATATATAATGTATACATATACATATATATCTATATATAGAGAGAGAGAAAGTAATTAGTACAAGTTTATTTGAATAACAGGTGTATGCCTGAAGAGTGGGTGATGCTTCAATCTGCTTGAATCTTCTGCAAAACATCTTCTAGCATATTGAATCTCAAAAAAGTATATCTAAAAATTGTGTTTGCTGACCTGCACTGGTTACATAAATCTATTCAACTTACAGTGAAGTTTATTTAGATTTCACTATCACCATCTTTCAGTTGTCCCTTTTCACCATCTTTTTATGAACCACAAACTTGAGCCTTGGCTTGGAGGTAATGTCACCAGGCCTTGGCTTGGAGGTAATGTCACCAGGGACTGTGAGCAGGTATAAAGAAGGGAGGTGTTGGGGCTGGAAAGGTGGCTCAGTGGTAGAGTGCTTGCCTCCCATGCATGAGGCCCTGGGTTTGATTCCTCAGAACCACATAAACAGAAAAAAGCCGAAAGTGGCACTGTGGCTCAAGTGATAGAGCGCTAGCCTTGAACTGAAGAGCTAAGGAACAGTGCCCAGGCCCAGAGTTCAGGCCCCACAACCAACCAAAAAAAAAAAAAAAGAAGAAGAAGGGAGGTGTTAATGAGAATAAAAAAGAAAATAAAGTATTTGGGACTATATACAATACAAAGATTTTTTTCTATAGATTCAAAATAGATAAGAATGTAATTTTAGCAATGGATTAGGTTATAAATAAGAAAAATAATATGAAAGTATTTGAGAAACTAAAGATGATAGTTAAGAGGAAAAACATCTTAACTATTAAAAATCTCTTTGAGGCCAGGTGCCGGTGGCTCATGCCTGTAATCCTAGCTACTCAGGAGGCTGAGATCTGAGGATCAAGGTTCAAAGCCAGCCTGGGCAGGAAAATCCGTGAGACTCTTATCTCCAATAAACCACCAGAAAACTGGAAGTGGCGCTGTGGCTCAAGTGGTAGAGCGCTAGCCTTGAGCTGAAGAGCTGAGGGACA